TAAATAATATCTTCTTAGTTGAAAGAAATCAGTTTGTCTCTTTATAAGATTATGGGAAACCCAACCCAAACTAAAGCAGTTTCTCACTTATTATGACAAGTCAAACTTTGAAGTAACCCAAAATTTTAGCATAAAACATTCTACGAATCACTATATATATTTTAACCAAAGAGTAAGTGACTTCTTCTTTCCATTTCAATCAATTGTCCTCTAGAATTACTTGAAAAGTCTCCTAGTAAGAAAATGAAATGTAAAGGAAGATAAACATTTAAAGAAACATTGATTTATGAAGCCATTTCAGTCTGTGCTTTTGATAATTTGCATATATTAGCCTGGTTCTCTTAAATACCTTGATACATGTTAATCATATACCAATATACAATTTTATTGAGTATTTTTAAATGTCATTCTAAAACAAGAAAGTGAAGTTTATATAGGCAAAAGTTCCAGGGTAATTGGCTTAGAAACAAAACATATTTTATTATGCCGAAAGACAATAATGGAGAAAATGAATAAAATATGTGTTATGCACTGTGTTTTCTCTCTACATTGAAAGGGAAAACATTACAAGTAAAATATTATTTTAAAAATAGAATTACCATTTTTAATAGTAAAATGATATGCTAATATTAATTCTTTAAGGTTTTATTGTGCCTTTTATATTGCCAAAGAATTAACTGTACTGAAAGCTTATATGGCCATCTGATTGACCACATCACAGACTCCTAAGGCTGATCCTGCCCCTAAAAGTCTGTGATTCATCCAGCCTTGTGCCCCATGATGTCTCTGGTCTCTCAAATACATCTGGCTCTTTGATGTCTTGAGATGGCAGTCAGAACTGCACATGCAGTTGAAGGCATACTGCTATGGCTTTTCGTAAAAGCAAGAGAAGTGTATAGACTTTTTCTATGCACCTCCTGATGCTGCCCCACTCACAGGCTGTTTGGCCTGAAGTTTTAGGGAAAATCTATGTTTTTCAACCTCAGCACACACTGGCGGGTTGGCTTCCTGAGTTGCGGCTGACAGCCAGCATTCAACGGGCGCAGTTTTACTACCTTACTGCAAAGGCATTGCCATAGACATAGTCACTTTGGAGCAATATGCTGCTTTTCTGTTCGTCTACCCAGGACTCTGAGGAGCTTCCCATTATCCATCCTCAGGCATTTGTCATTCTGCTTCCTAGACCACTTAACAGATTTTATTGGCTGTTTGTAAATCAAAGTGGTCCCAACTAATGACAATTCTTGATAAGCATAGCTCTTAAATTTTTCCATTTGGGATGTATCTGCTTTTCTCTACTCCTTGCTTACTATGTTAATGCCAATGCCTTTCTTCACAATGCAATAGGGACCCTGGTCCTGTGTTTTGCTGAAAACATGGGCTGATATAACCAGAAGAATATGTGCTACCTCATTGTATCATATAGAACTGTAGCAACAGAACGTGCTTTTCACTTTGGGTTTCATAAAATAATTTTGTGCAGAATAATTCCACAGTTTCTGTAGTGTATTTAAACAAATCTTCAGAAACGTAACTTTTTTGTTAGAGAATTCCTGAATTTGAGGTTAGGATAACTATAGGAACTTTTTCATCATAGATTTTTTTTTAACCATTATTTCCTACTCACAACACAACTGTGCTTATGTGATATATTTACTTTTCAAAGAAAGCTGGTATGTTTTAAAAGCCCCCTCTTTAAAATTGGACCTCCTCCTCTTCACCCTGCTATATTTACTAAAAATATTCTTTTTAAAAAGATTCATTTGTATTTAAGTCTTTAGTGCTCCCATTCTCTGTTGTAGAGTCAGTCATCTGTGCTCACTCCTTAAACCCCATAAATATTTAGACACGGGATAAGCAAAGTATGAACTCACCCAGTCTTGGTGTGCTTACCACGACCTAGATCCCTGCATACCCCCAGAATCCTTCTTCATGACACAGTCCCATTTGCAATCTGGCACAGTAGCTTGCATAACAATAGATTCCAGTGGCCTAATTTCACCCTTGAGTTCTTGCAAAACTCTCATTCAGCTTCCCTCCACTTGGTGATTTATCTAGATTTATTGTGTCAATTTGGCAGAATAGCTCTGATACAACCACTATTGGATTTAATATCATCAATCTTACATTTCCAGGAACAATACAGGACTGGCAATCTCCCTATGATCTTCTTCATTAAAAGCTAAGGTTTAAAAGTACACCTAGGAGCTAACACTGTTTCATCCTTTGGAGAAGTCTCTATTCCAAAATCATCTGTGGTCAATCCTCTCCTTTTAAATAAATTATTCTCTCGGACTCATTGAAAGAACTGTATTGTTCTTGAAGCCTCACAAATAATGCTCCTCAATTTCTTTGCATTTCAAGGGCCACATTATTGCTATGTGATTCCTAATCTTCCATACTTTGTAGACTTCTCGTTATTAGAACCATGTTAAAGTTTAGGGAAAAAGCTAATTACTTCCTGAAGTCAAATGTTTGATACTTCCAGTCATGCAAGCAATGGAAGGATAGGAATAATTCTGAATAGAATGGTTTTTACAAAATCATTACATTTCTGTTACAGCTACCTGCTCTAAAATTAAATAACTCACTGAGTGGACACTCAAAATTCTAGGTGTACCTTTTATACTGATTACTAACCATTCCTTAATATAAGAAATGTATTAATCACTAACTCTATGTAAGACAAAGCACTAGGCACTAGGAATTCAAGTAATTCAGACAACATTATCTCTACACTGAAGGATCTCACCATGTAGAATCCAGTCACATTGCAGACATGTAAAAAAACACATCAAGGTCATTCACTGTGACATATGCCACATGATAGGTAAAAAGTGATGGGCAGAGTGATTTCCTAGACATCTAGTAGAAAAGCTAGTTTCAGAGCAGGGTAGACAATGATATTGAGTGGCATCTTGACAAATGGGTAGGAGGGGTGTGGGCAGACCATGTTAGGAAGGGCAGGGACCAAAAGTTATTGAACGGTTTGACTATGGTGTGCAGTACAACAGCAGAAATGGTAGCAGAGGAGACTAGATGAGACTGCTAGGTGTGCCATGAGAAAACGTTAGAACTTCATCCTGTGAGTAAGAGGAGACCAAAGGGTTTTAAGCAATCAAATAATATGGTCAAAATTTGTGATATGAGTGTGCAAGCAGGGAGTTCATTTCAGAGGTTATGACCCTGTTAAAGCAAGAGCCGAAGGAAGCAGTGACAGTGTGAATGAAAAGAATGGAATGGATTCAACATACAGATAACAAGTCTAGCTCAGTCCTTCAACCATTTGTTCAGGGTGGTAGTAATTAAGGTAGAGCCAGAAATCAAAGGTGACCCCCAACTCAGGATTCATTTTCCGGTAGCTAGGTACATGGTTATCTGAAGGACTGCAGGAGGAACATCAGGTCAGTATTAAGGTTAGTCTGAGTATTATAGAAGGGCTCTATAAAGATAATGAGTTCTCTTTTGAACGTACTTGGTTTGGAATGAGGTATCTAAGTGAACGTTTCTGATAAATGATTACATAAATCTGGTGCTCAGGCTTAGAAATAAATATGAAAGAATCACTAGTGTAGGGTTCAGTCAATTTTGCATTCTGGCTGGTTGTAACTGAGGTATTACACTGAGAATAACAGCAACAAAGATATCAAACGATCCCTCTCTGAAACCTAGTAATTAATAAATAATTGTGGGAACAAAACAATTATTTATTATATCTTCTCCTTCTCATATATAAGGTATATGAATCTTGTTCATATAAATTATTTATTCCACATACTAAAGCTTTGCCAATACAAACTTTACTTACCTTTCCAATACATTATTATTTTAAATAACTCTTTTGACCATTCTTAAGATTAGCTACTATCAAATAAGTGGATTACTAATATGATATAGTTTCTGATTCCAAGGTATAAGAATAAACAGTTTATTCCAGCTGAAAAATCATTTAGCTGAAACATTATACTTTTTAATCATATTCCCTTTATATCACATTTGTGAAGGACAGATTTGTTATACTTCCTAAATCAATGAAGATTTGGCAGCGCTTATGTCATTTGGGTAGAAATAAAGTGTTCAAACAGAGCTTTTATTTATTTATTTATTTATTTATTTATTTATTTATTTATTTATTTATTTTTCTGAGACAGAGTCTCCCTGTCACCTAGGCTGGAGTACACTGGCATGATGTCAGCTCACTGCAACCTCCACCTCCTGGATTCAAGCAATTCTTGTAACTCCGCTACCTAATTAGCTGGGATTATAGGCATGCCTAGCTACTTTTTGTATTTTTAGTAGAGACAGGATTTCACCATGTTGGCCAGGCTGGTCTCAAACTCCTGACCTCGGGTGATTCACCCACCTCGGCCTCCCAAAGTGCTACTAGGATTACAGACATAAGTCACCACCCTCAGCCAGAGCTTTTACTTTTGCACTTTTAAAATAGTAGCTGTCTTTGAAAAGTAAATATATCACATAAGTGCAGTTGGCTTGTGGGTAGGAAATAATGGTTGAAAAAAAAAATGTGTGATGAAAAAGTCCCCATAGTTACCCTAACCTCAAATTCAGAAATTCCCTGACCAAAAAAAAATGATGTTTCCAAAACTTTGTTTAAGTAAATCATAGAGACTGTGGAATTATTGTGCACAAAATTATTTTGTGAAACTCAAAGTGAAAAGCATGTTCTGTTATTTAAATCCATAGTTAGCTAGTACATATTCTTCTGGCTAACAGTCCATGTTTTGAGCAAGTGGCATACACAAAGAATAAGCTAAGAGATTCTGATGTTTCTTAAGAAAAGGAAATATTGAATAGACAGTTGTTCAGATATGTGCAATGAATTATTTCACAACCTTTTATAAAATGGATGTGCTCACATAAGGCATGCAGCATTCCTGTGATTTCTACAGAATAGAAAATATCAAACCTTCTTGCTGGAAGTACTCCAAATGACATCATGTTTTTTTGTTTTTTTTTGTTTTTCTATTACCACTAAACAGGGAAGGTCATGGTAAAATTTCAGTATTTGCTGTCAAAATGGCTTTAGCCACATTGTGTGGAGGGAAGATCATGGACAAATTAAGATGTAAGTTATGATTCCTTGTGTCTCTCTTTGCTTTTCCCTGCTAGGTACCACCCTTTTCTCTCCCTCATTCCTGCATGTCCCCTGCCCATTTGTATCTTTCCTCATTCTATAAGAGTTGTTTGAAATACAATTTTCACTGATGTTTGAATTTGGTCATAGCGATGTTTTCACATTATGCAAATGCTAATGAAATGAATGTTTTCCTCTACTTATAACCTGTTGAGTATCACCAACTGGCCTCTTTCTGATGTTAAAGTAAAATAAGCACTCTTTGCAGGTAATTATGCTATACTGCCTTACAAGCAGGACAAGATGACAGGGACATGAAGACCATAGTAGGAAACCTTCCCCTTTAAGTCTTCTAAAAGCAAAGATCCTGGCACATTTTCTCATTCTTCTCAGCCAGCACTATTCAAATCACTGGGAACTCCCAAGGTTTCAAAGCCGGCAATGCCAGGAAAGAAGAATAGGAGTTTCATAGAGACAGCATTGACAGAATTAACTAGATGCTAATAAAAGCATGGGAGCTAAAGTACATTGAGTAATTGTGGGCCTTGATGAACATTTTGTCTCTAAATATGGTAGAGTTCCTTAACCAACAACACATTGGGGATTGTTTGTTGTTTTCATTAGGTAAAGAAATTGAGACTTAGTTAATCATATGGTTAAAATGATACCAGGATTTGAGCCCTGACTTTTTTCCCCACACCAGCGGTTCACGAATTTTAGCATGCATCAGAATCGCCTGGAGGGCTTTGGTAAAATGTAGATTTCTGGGTCCCACCCCCAGAATTTCTGACTCAGTAGGCCTAGAATGGGGGTGGGTGACAAGAATATGTATTTATAACTAGTTTAACATGATGTTGATTGATGCTGCTGTTTAAATTTAAACTTCTCACTTAGCCCTATCCTTTCTCCTAAATAGTATGAGTTGGGGTTATAAGTCTGTGTTAGAAAGGGCACTGTCATGGGAATTGGGAGTTCCAGGTTGCAAGCCCAGCTGTGGGACTAATTTGCTGAGTTATCCTTTGGCAGTTACTTCACTTCTTTAGTCCTCGGCCTCCTTCTGTATCCTAAATTTGGGAATTTTGTGAGATATTCATAGAGTCACACTTGCTGCAATGCAGCCATCTATGTGGCTCACAGCACAAGGCTCACCAGCTGCCTGTCAGCTTCTAAGCGAGATCTCTTGCTTCTTGCTCCACCCAAAAGGAAAGAATAAAGGAAGACACAGACAAAACCTTTTGTTCCTTTGGAATGTCCCCAGAGTTGCTCCGGGGATGAGTCATTTCACTGGTAAGTGAAAGGGACAGCAAAGCCTCAGGTAGCCACACAGCTTCCCTCACTTCAGGGACTTCCCTCCTTGAAGAGCCAAATGCAGCCAGGATTCAGAGAAGCCCAGACAGACCTTAGGAGGAGCCATGTATCTTCTCTTTTGTTAGCCTGAAAGATATAGAAAATTTAAAACCATCTACCTCAGTGCTTGTTTGAAAGATAAATTAGAAGATGCTGACACCAAGGGCCTTTAAAAAAAAAAAAAAAAAAGCTCCAGAGTAACCCATGAGCATTTCCTTCAGGGTTAAGCCAGAAAGAGGAAGCTTAGCAAAATGAACCAAGGCAGAGGAAGAAACTCCTGAGAACCTTGTCTGCCAACCCCAACTGGCCATTTATGAAGAAGACATTAGATCAATGTAAATAAATAAATAAATAAATAAATAAATAAACCCCACTTGGAAAACATCTAAAAATACCTATTTAATATTACATTAATAGCTACCTGGATAGAAAAGTCCCATATTAAAATAGGTTTAAAGAAAACTAAGAAAACCATTTTTCTGCATCTCAGAATGTCTGTCAACCTTTAACATACCAGGCTAATTCTGAGCTCTCAGGGTCCTGGTGTTTACTGTCTTTCCACTCAGCTTTGCTCAGTGTAAGATTTCATCCTCCTCCTATGAGTTAGGATGAAGGGTAGGGGTGGGGTGGGGGGAGGAGACAGTCACAACAGTCACATCTCACTACAGAGCCCCCCCAACCCTTATAACTCATCACCTAGGATGGCATCTCAGACCAATTACCAATTACTGGTTAGAGAAAATGTATGACAGCAATGGTTGTTGTGTAATCCACTTTCGCCTCCTGTGTTCAGAAGGGTACCCTATTCCCTCAATCCATCGACAAATGTGTGTCAAATACTGATGGAGGGAATGGCTGCTAGGCAAAGGACTAGCAATGTCAGCACAGTTGCAAAGCTCAAGATATAACCAGATTATTGATTAGATCTTTACAATTGTGAAAACCCTTGCAGTTCTCTCTTGGGTTCAGGAGTTCAAAGGAAACACTGTAACTGCTACAATGCTTTCTCCTCACCCCATCCCATAACTCCCCCACTCAAAAAAGCACTCTTTAGTAGCCAAAGTCTATTCTCTTTAGTGCAGTGAAAGAAGTAACAAATGCATGTGTCCCATTGGAGGTAGGCAAACTTTTCTAGTCTGCAGAAACAAGCTTCACAATATCTCAGATGCTGTAGAAAAACAGATGGTGTGGCCGGGATAAATTGCATCCCCCACTCTGAGAGCAGTGAACCTGAATCACAGCCTTATGTGTCCCTGGTTCTCTGACTGAGGAGTCACTCTTTGTATAGTTAATCCTAGGAAGATGACTTTAGTGGTTTCCAGGTAACTTGGTTAAAAGCAATTTGACGAAAAACAATTTAATTGAAGGTAATTTGGTCACAAGAATCTGTCCAGAATGTTAGCTGGTCAAAAATGAATATCCTGAGTCATGAATATTTCTAGTTTCGATGATAATTATTAATTGAATGGGCAAATGTGGGCAAATTTACCCACAAAATCTACCCAGAGACGCCCTTGGTGGGTGGGATTGTGGGTATTCCTATTGTCTTCTTTTCCTGGCTTGCATTTTAATGAAGAAACAGATAAGGTAGCCAGGCATGGTGGCACATGCCTGTAGTCCCAACTACTCAGAAGGCTGAGGCAAGAATCACTTGAACCCAGGAGGCAGAGGTTGTTTGAGTTGAGATCGCACCACTGCACTGGGTGACAGAGTGAGACTCCATCTCAAAAAACTAAACCAAAACAAAACAAAAAAACAGGTAAGGTCATTATTTTCTACATTGCTTCTGTAATAAGAAAGAATGAAATGAAGGGATATGAAATTTTTCTGGCTTGAGGGTTTTGTTTTCCCTTCTTTAAACTTTTTCTAATTCACTTTAAGCCAAAATGCCAGCTGTGCTTGTTTGGCAATTTTTCTTTTTTTGTGTGCATAGGGATGAGGGATATTTAGCTTGTTCCAGCTACTTCCTTATTGTTGGAGAACAGAGCAAGAATAACTGGCTGAAAATAAGTCAAAAATTTTAAAAAACAGAGAAAGCAACAGAAAATTTGAAGTTGGTTTTCTTAATGCTTTAAAATGCATTAAAAGAGAAAACAACCCCATGTTGCAACACAATTTCCAGTAATTGGGGCTACCATTCACTGGTAGAGTATTCCCTGTGTAATTCCAGGGAACATCATTGACACAGCCTAGGAGATGAAGAGCGCCCCCTGCAGTCAAGTGCCATGGCAACCTAAACATACTCTTACCTAATAACACTACTTTTTTTGTCAGATTATTCTTGGCCCAATTTTAAACTGTTTTAATGGGTTAGAACACTTGTTTATACTTCTGCCTCAGGGCTCCTGGATAGTTCTAAGGATCTTCAGGAATTCTAAATCCAGTGCTGTAAGCCTGGTTGTCATGTGCTGATCTAAAGCTTTGGGGAGGACTTGTTTTATTTTGTTTAAAAGGCTAGTATTATGGAAAATACTGCATATTTATTGAGTTTCTATTACTGAACTGGTTGTTTTCCTCTGTGCCTACCCCTGGGATAATGTTTCTAATGCGCTGACCTGCTTTAAATTCTTTGGTATCTCCCTCAACATCCTCTGGACATAATCTAAACTCCTCAGTAGAATTCAACCATAAAAAAGAATGAAATCCTGTCATTTGAGGCAACAGGGATGAGCCTGGAGGACATTATGTTAAGTAAAATAAGTCGGGCACGGAAAAATAAGTACTGCATGTTCTCACTCATATGTGGGAGCTAAAAAATAAAATTGAACTCATGGAAGTAGAATTATGTTTATTAGAGGCTGGGAAGGGTAGTGGGCTGCAGGGGGTTGGGGGGATAGGAAGAGGTTAGCTAATGACTATAAAATTACAGCGAAGTAGGAGGAATATGTTCCAGTGTTCTATAGCACTGTCTGGTGACTATAGTTAACAAAAATTTATTGTATATTTCCAAAAAGCTGGAAGAGAAGATGTTGAATATTCTCAACACAAAGAAATGATAAATGTTTGAAATGAAGGTAATGCTCATTATCTTGATGTGATCATTACACACTGAACACATGTATCAAGATATCACTCTGTATCCTATAAATATGTACATTAATTTTTTACTCAGAATCTCTGTAGTCTCATGATTAATAAACTGTTGGAAACAGCAGAAACCCTTTATAAATGGAATATTTAATGAAAATGAGAGTCAATTCATGTTCTCAAAACATAATCCAATAAAAGACTGTGATATGCTTAACATCTGACTTTGGTGTAAATACAATGTTCCCAGATTACATTTGACCTTGAAAAATTAAACCCAAAGTGAATAGAGGTAGCACATTCACAGCCGTTTATGCCAACAGCTGTGCTGGCCTGGTGACAAGCTAGTTAGCGTGGTGACAAACTACATAATAGCAAACCCTTTCATTCTAATAGTGATTTGTACAGAGGAATTATAAAGCACCTTGGGAAATTATGTCATTAATATTCATTAAGTGCACATAGTGGCAGAAATTGAAGAACTGTGGTTCAGTGAAGCCACAGACCCTTCAGAGAAAGATCCAGGACCCCGACTTTACCTCATTGATCATCCACAAGGCCACGCTTCCTCTTCACTACACAAGTCAGAAAACCCTTTCCTGTAAATCAAGTGCCTTCCACCCAGAACATGGTAGCTGATAGAAAGTTTTGTGCTTCTGTAGGAAGTTAATCAAGAGTTTGTCGTTACAGCTTTATCCTCATTGTGTCTTTGATTTTTCAAATATCTTATACCAAAATCCAAAAGTTTTGGTGATAAGTGGGTAAATTTCTAGCTAGATAAATGAATATACACACACCCCAACTTTACAGCAAAACTCTTACTGTGTTTCAAATGAAGTCACCGTCTTTCTCATATATACAAAAATTTATCCTACTGGGCTATACAAGAGTTAACAATTGACCTCAAAACAAAAAACACGTCTTGTTAAAGACATTTAAGAAATGTCTCTTTCTTATTAAAATGTTAATTTTACACTTGTGATTGCTATGTGCCAGAATCATCTAGAAAAAGAAACCAGAGAAAACATTATGCCAGGAATATTTCAGCATAAAAAATATCTTTTGTATTATTCTTTCATAAAAATGTTCATTTTGCTACTTTTTTTTGTCATTTGTAGCAGATATGTTGAACAAAAACATTGGAGAATGTTCATATGATGAATAAATATCTTTCCCTTTCCTTTCATCAGATATTTTCTCAATGATTTCTGACTCCAGTGGGGTGATGGTTTATGGACGATACGACCAATTCCTTCGGGAAGTTCTCAAACTACCCACAGCAGTCTTTGAAGGTCCTTCATTTGGTTACACAGAACAGTCAGCCAGATCCTGCTTCTCCCAACAGGTAGGAGAAAAATATGTTTAAGGAAGTATTTCTTTCATAAAGTGGTTGCTCCCCTTCTAGATGTCATTCCAGGTCACAAATATTCAGATAAATTCTTCTATGTGATAGCAACCTATAGTATATTTTTAAGCCTCTGACAAATGACCTCTGAGCCAGTAACTAAACCCAGCACACACCTGGATCACAATAATAGGCAATGTTTACTGACCATGAGGCAGACACTGCTCAATTTTTTTCTTTCATAGCCTAATTTAATCCTTATAACAACCCTTCTGTATTAATCTGTTTTCACACTGCTATAAAGGCATACCCAAGACTAGGTAATTTATAAAGAAAAGAAGCTTAACAGACTCACAGTTCTGTCTCAGGAAATTTACAGTCCTGGTAGAAAGTGAAGCAAGGACTACCTTCTTCATGTGGCGGCAGGAAAGAGAAAGAATGAAAAGTTGAGGGGACTCTGCCATTTATAAAACCATTAGATCTGCCATTTACAAAGCCATTAGATCTCCTGAGAACTCCCTTAGTATCATGAAAACAGCATGAGGAAACCACTCCCATAGTCAATCACCTCCCACCAGGTCGCTCCCTCAGCACCTGGGAATTACAATTCAAGATGAGATTTGGGTGGGGACACAAAGCCTAACCATGTCACCTACACCCTCAGTGTCATTATTTTTACTATCACTGCACTTTGAAAGGCTTAATTGTCTCACTTGGCCTCATGTGAAATATGTGTTTGACCCAGCACCAAGCTTTAACATTGGTTTAGCAAAGGTTACCAAAAAGGAATCCCAACATCTGCCACATCATGACCTGAGAAGCCCAAAATATGGCAAACACAGCTGCCTAAATCTTCTACAACATGATACATTTGGGGTTCCCAGTGATGTATTTCAACTGGGTATGGCTCAAGCTAGCCCAGGAAAGCTGCATAGTTTAGGGGGCTGTCTATGTGTGTGCCTCTCTGGTCATGTAGAGAGACTCCAGGCCCATTCTCCAACATAGCACAGTGGTAGCACAAATCCATACATCAAGGGTTAGTTTACCATCCAAAGTAACCTTTATGTCCTCTCAGAAGGCATCCTGACTGGATGTGGTGGCTCACCCTTGTAATCCCAGGACTTTGGGAGGCCGAGGATCCGGAGCTTAGGAGTTCAAAACCAATGTGAGCAACACAGGGAGACCGCACCTCTACAAAAAGTTTGAATCACTTAGCCAGGCATGGTGGTACATACCTGTAATCCCAGCTTCTCAGGAGTCTGAGGCAGGAGGATAACTTGAGCCAAGCAGGTCAAGAGAGCAGTGAGTTGTGATGGCACCACTGCACTCCAGCCTAGGCAACAGAGCAAGACCCTGTCTCAAAAAAAAAAAAAAGATAAAGTAAAAGTATATCCCTGCCCCATAAAACATATACAACAAATGCTCACTGCACTGAACTTTACCGATTTAAGAGTGCAGAAGTCTTTTCTTTTCACTGAAATTAGCTTTTAAAAGTGTCAGTCACTTCAAAACACAAATCTATGTTTTTCATTCAATTTTACTGCTTTCCAACTTTTCTCATGGCATGCTAAATGTATAGCTCCTTTTATTTTTACAGTGTTTTATGCCTCACACAGTGAATTATCTGATTTATGTCTTGCAACAACCCTGTCAGCTAACAAGGAAAATGTGATTCTTTTTTTAACAATATAAAGTTCATAGCTAGTGAGGGTGGGGGGCTGAGTTTTTAACTCTGGTCTTCTAATTCTTCTGTTAATGTTACTCTTGTGTTCTTGTTGTTGTTGCTTTTGTTTTTTGCACTTTCAGTTTATATTTATAAGTATTCAGATGATCTGACCCAAGGAAATGCAACCACCTGTTCTATTCCTTCACTCAATCATGGAAACAAGAATACTTTCATTTATATCTGAATTCTTGAATTTTATGTAGTGTATTATAGAATAATTGGTAAATGTGCTAATGTCTCAGAATATGTCTCATTCAAATTAAGGTGAAATAAAAGGACTGGGTTAAAAAAAAATCTTAAAAAGACCTATGCTGGTGTAGTGACTCACACAGTAATCCTAGCACTTTGAGAGGCTGAGGCAAGAGAATAGCTTGAGTCCAGGAGTTCAAGACCAACCTGGACAACATAATAAGATCTCATCTCTGCAAAAAAAAAAAAAAAAAAAAAAATTAAACAATTAACCAGGTGTGATGACACACACTTGTAGTCCTAGTTACCTGGGAGGCTGAGATGAGAGGATGACTTTAGCCCAGGTGTTCAAGGTTACAGTGAGCTATGGTTGTGACACTGCACTCCAGCCTGGGCAGCAGAGTGAGATCCTGTCTCAAAAAAAAAAAAAAAAAAAGGGACCTATGTGTTCAAAAATTATATGTGATGTTGCTACATCCAAAATTCGTTTTGAGATACCTATAGACTATTCTGTTATATGACTTGTATATATTCTTAATGATGAGCAACTTATACATGTTGAAATCATTATAACATTTTTGAAAACTTCCAAGAGTGATTTTTTTTTTAGCCAGTGTGGCAAATGGCCAAAATGAATAAGAACATACGAAGTATGAAAAGAGGTAACACAAAAATAATAAGACCAGTTTATTTTTGTATGTCATCAATTGGCTGTAATAGCTACTCAAGAGTCTGAGGTAGGACAATGGCTTGAGATCAGAAATTCGAGTCCAGCTTGGGCAACATAGCAAGACCCCATCTTTAAAGTAAATAAATAAATATTTTTAAATAAATAAATAAAACTCTCCCATCCCCTTTGATATTCTAGTTCAAAATTTCAAGTAGTGATTTTTGCATATAAACACATATTTTTGTTATTCATACCATTACAGTACATGCATTAATATAGCTTTCTTACTTTTGTCACTTTTGAAGAAACTTGATATAATGCATTTCTTTTGTACATCAAAAGGATCTGGATAGTGAGAAAGAAGCAGACAGAATTGAGAGGAATGATATATTAAGTAATAAAATGAGCGCATTTTTTAAAATTTAGATGGTTCTCCTCTAACAGGTTTCCCTCCCGCTCTTGTATAACAGAACCATTCACATTAGCCACTAAATATTTAGTACTTAAGGAAGCTGAGGAAGCTCAAAAGGGAAGTTGTTCTATAAATTTAGAAGACTGACTGATAGGAAAATTATAGAGTGAGCTATGATACATTCTTGAGTAAAATTCCATGGAGAATTTCAATTCTTTCTTTTTCTTCATATTTTATACTGTCTTTAATATATACAAGTGATGCTCTTGGAATTTTCTCCTGCTGATACTATTGACTCCGACTCGGTGGAAAGAATTCAGTCTTATGTACGCTTAGGTATAAAAAGCAAGCAATGTTTTCAGTTCTAAACTAGTTGAATAACACATTTGGCAAGTTGTGTTTCTTCAGATATTGGAGGTTTATTGAGTATTCTTTTGTTTCAGTTTCAAATGATATTTACATGGCAGATAAATTGAGATGATTCTCTGTCCTAACTTTCTGTTTGTTTTTTTGTTTTGTTTTGTTTTGTTTTTTGGTGCAGAAAAAAGTCACGTTAAATGGTTTCTTGGACACTCTGATGTCAGATCCTCCCCCGCAGTGTCTGGTCTGGTTGCCTCTTCTGCATCGACTAGCAAATGTGGAAAATGGTTAGTAGTTACTACTGAGCAAAGGTGACTTTTAAAATTATCGAAAATAGGCCAATAGATCTACAGTTAGTAAGCCCAGGTCATTGTTTTAGGGAAGCCTATTTAGTGGCTTTTAGTTTTGTTTAGGATAGAACTAACCCATCTCCCTGTTCAGGAAGGCCTCAAAAGACCACTGAAAAATTAGGACTGTCAGTTCTAAAAACATATTAAATCTCGTGGTGTTCTTCTCAATTACAAGTCAAGTGTGGTTAAAAGACTTGTCACAATAGAAGGCGAACTTCAACAAGTAGTGTAACTTTACTTTGTATTTGTTTTAGATTTGAATTTCTCATATTTGCATACATGGTACTGATTATTTCTTCCCAGGCACTCAGCCAGAAACAGGTGGGAGAAATGAGAAAAAAAAATAGATGATAGCACCCTATTAATCTTTAGTCATATGTTCCAGATTGTGAGCTTTCAATAGTTGTACTTATGTTAAAGATAAAAGTAAAATAAGTTTCGTATCATGTCTTTTTTTAAAGCAAGTATTTCTAGGATTAAAGGAACTACTGTTGGCATATCCAGATTTAAATATTAAATACAGTTTGGGACAAAATTTAAAGAAATGTAAACATGGAACAGTTCAATGCCTCCATCTAAGCTTTAGGTGTTCCTACTTGCTGTTCAATGTAACTCTGAAATTTCTCCAGACTTGACTAGGAAATAATTTAGTCAGTATCTCTTACTAGAGATTTAACTTAAGTCTCTATATATTACTCAACTTCTATGTATTTCTTTAATATACATTGCATCTAAAGTTAGCTTAATTTTAAATTATCATTCAGAATTTTAGCATCTGCCCTTATTTATCTCAGGTAGTTAAAAGTTATGAAATTATCCTCTTTTGCTCATGGAGAAAATTTAAAGAATAAATTTACTTTTTTTTTTTTTTTTTGCAATCACTGACAATCATAGATTTTTTTATGTTTCTTTATCCATACACAGAAGCGAAGAGCAATCAAGGTCCATGTTATTATGCAAGATGAGTTTATGTTACTGTTTACAGTTCTAGAACTAGTCATTTTCCAATCATAAAGCTATAATTTCATTCCTTCTCTCCCAGCATTTCCTGCTGCAGGAGATCAGTTTCTTAGGCACTGTCCCAGAGCAGTTGTCCTTAGATTCATATCCCACTATACTCTTTTTCAAGAGCCAGAAAGGAAAGTTATGATACTTGTTTAGAAGACAATGCATCCAGAGCTAGTTGTTTCTTCACTTTACACTTTGCTTTTTATCTTTATTTATTCTTATTTGCAGTGTTTTTCCTGGCTGATCAGCCAGAGAATAGCTTTATCAAAGGCAAGAACTGTTATTGTTGTTTTAGTATCTAGCTCATAGCATGTAGACAATTGCTTGGATTTGATCACTTAAATCTAATATTTTACTTTGCTTCAAATCTAATATTTTGCTTTGTCTGCTTTATAATTCAAAATGCTTACCAAAGAAAGTTAACTGTCTCTTGAGCTATCTGAATGATGTAGAACTGATTTCAGATAATTTATACATCTTTTTAGGGTCTTATAACACTTGACTCAGGAAAGAAAAAAAAATCTGTCAGATGTAGGAAATGCTACTCATTAAGTAAGCCTATTAGTCACTCCACTTTTAAAAAAGTAACTTAATTCTCTCATCCACATCCAGTTTTTCACTCTCTGCCCACTTTTCTTTCTTTTTTCTTCCTCTCGTTCTCCATGTCTCTGATATTTGCTCTCTTACCCTGGACAATCAGCATTCACCCCTTGTGCTTCTGACTCTTCCAGTGAGCTGTGCTGGTCTCCTGGAGACAGAGAGCAGTCTGGGGTAAAGGCAAGTCTGTTTGGGTAATTTAAATTCTTGTAATGTGAGATATGAGAGTAGAAAGAGCAAATGGCATTACAGAGATTTTTGTTGTTAAAAAGACACCTCTTCTCCATCCCGTTTCATTTCTTCCACCCCCACAGGCGTGATTGAAAAGGGCTGTGAGTATCCAGGAGTGAACTAAATGCTTCTCTGAGCCCAAATCAACTATCATCTGAAATTGTGGCACAGAGAAGAAAAGTGCAATTTCTGTAAGGCTGCATTTTTCCTTCTTCTGATTCATACTTTTGTTTTCTTGTTTTTTCTTCACTTACTTCCCCCTTAGTCTTCCATCCAGTTGAGTGTTCCTATTGCCACAGTGAGAGTATGATGGGATTTCGCTACCGATGCCAACAGTGTCACAATTACCAGCTCTGTCAGGACTGCTTCTGGAGGGGACATGCCGGTGGTTCTCATAGCAACCAGCACCAAATGAAAGAGTACACGTCATGGGTAAGGCGAGGTCCAGGCAATACTTGGAGTTGGATGTGTGAGTGTTGCCCAGAATGAAAGAGAATATCAAGGATAGTGGCAGAGTTAAAAAGCAAACTTACCTTCTAACCCAAGTCTAGTATTCAGTCCCCCTTCTTCCCATCCTCCACCCCACTGCATGCTCTTACTTATTCTGTCGGAACTCACTGTAGCTTCCTGAGACTTAAAATATAGGAAGATTCAAAACTATATTACTTCTTGAAATATACATAATTCAGTACTGATTTAAATAACAACTGAACAGCAAGGACCTTCTGGAACATAGCCTTACATTCACAGTAAGTTAAAATGTTTTTTAAGTTTTGTTTTGCGGAAATGGCTTAAGAATAATTGCTAGTTTTATTTTTCTTAGATTCTGGAGTTCTTTTTAGTGCATGACTAAAATATTAAAGAAACAAGTATGAGAGGAGAGTGTGGACTTAATAATACCGTTCCATTTTACTTTTCTGCAGTGGGTAGGGAGGGGAGATTGTGGTGATATTAGCAAACCATCTTTTCATGAATAGTGTGAGTAACCAACCTGGCAAAGGTGGCATGTGAGTGTCTGTGTGATAGATGTATTCTCAGGAGCATGTGGCACCAGGTCTGTGGGAGGAAATGTGACTCCGTGTGCTAACTTTTCAAATGGGTTATGATTTACTGATCTTTATCTATCTTAATTAAACTCAAATATCAGTTCCAGCAATGTTGCCCTTGGACATCTCTTCAAGGATTGGTTTTTGTAGGATGTATAAATTGGTGTGTATATATTTATGTACATATACAAATATATATATATATATATGTATATATATATATATATATATATATATATATATATATGTGGGATATACCATCAGCCCTGCCAGCACCTCTTGGAATAGTTCTGTCACAAGAAAATGCAACATATTTATGAGTTTTTCTACATTTTTAATGTATTTCAATTCAATCTGTAGTCTTAAAGAAGTCTTCAGAATATATATCTTAGATCAAAATGTTCTTTCTAAGAATTATTCTTGGGAACTAATATTTGGTGTCAATATATGAGTACTTCATCACCAGTCAGATTCTGAATTTAAGTAATAGTTCTTCACCAAGTCAGAGCATACTGAGAATTTCTATGCCAATTCCAGTGCAACCCCTCACTGTTGTTTATGGCATGCTGAAGATAGATAGACAGATACATTAACACGGATAATGAACTACAATTTAGCTTAGAAGATAGGAACTAAAACTTTGTATTTTCTTATTGTTAGCATATTACCATTGTTCAAACTTCTAACCTATGTCCTAGGATATTTGGTGTTTGAAAACTAATCAGATTTAGTTGTTTTATGTAAATGCCAAATCCACATAGGGAGACTCATTAATCTTAAAGGTTGTACAGATATTGCAGGGCACTATCTGTACAAAGAAGAATCAGACTCCTTGAGAGGACAGAAGTCCCTATGATTCGTGGGGTAAAGAGCTGCTGTTGCTGCTGTCTTAACTGTTCTAAGAATTACATCTCCTAACAAAAGCCAAAGAGGGACTTCTTGAACAACGCTCTTATTACTTAGCTTTTTAAAAATGAGGACAATAGTCACTTCATTATATTACCAGTTGTGGACTCTAGGTATAAAAGAAACTGACAAAATTTGAAATGACTTCTTATGGAAAGGAAAAATATAGTTAAAGTCTTATTATTATTATATTATATTATTATTATTAAATTATTTGAAAGTAGTGGCAAAAACTGCAATTGCTTTTGCACCAACAAATAATATATGTGGTAGGCTACTTTTATATAATTTTGACTGTATAATATCAAGATAAACATCCCAACAATATAAACAAAATAGAGGCAGCATGATTCTCTAGAAATAACTTAAATTTTAAATTCTGAAGACTCAGACTGAAGTTCATTTTCACTTCTAACTGGATGTGTTCAGCCACACCTGAAATATCTTTCTTGCACCTGGATTCCTGCAAAATTGTCTGCTCGTCTTCCTTCTGTGCCTATTTCGGCATAAACCATTTTCTGTTCTTAAGTGACAGCAGTCCTTCTAGAGTTAGGTCTGATGCTGCCATGCCTGTGATTTAAACTTTTCATGGCCTCTTCTGTCCTGGGAATAAAGAGACATTTCTTAATGAGCCATATAAAGACTTTGATCATCTGCCTCCTGCTTTCCTCCCCAGAAGGGCTCCCTTCACTGTTGCTGCCTCCTCCATCTCAAATGACTTTCCTAGTCTGCTGAGTTTTTGTCAGGACTCCTGCAGGCCCATTAAGTCCCAACTCAGGTGTCCCATACACAATATCTGCTTCCATTTATTGCAGCATTTGCTGACACTGAGCAGCAGGAGGTAGCTTGTTCGTAAACTCTCTTCTAGCACTGAGCAAATTTCTAGACTCAGAGTCAGCACTGAAAAAGGATTTCTTCCCTGAATGAATAGCTATTATGAAAAGCAAATCAGTTGACAAAATATTACATAAATGTTAGCTGTTGTCACTTCTACCTTTCTTCTTTCCAGAAATCACCTGCTAAGAAACTGACTAATGCATTAAGCAAGTCCCTGAGCTGTGCTTCCAGCCGTGAACCTTTGCACCCCATGTTCCCAGATCAGCCTGAGAAACCACTCAACTTGGCTCACATCGTGTGAGTATCTCTGCCCTCACAGTGAAGAGACATTTTTCTTCAAGAGCACATGTCTGGAGCCAAACAAAGGCAATTTCATATCAGTGGTCAACAACCAAGTTTTTTAATTTATTTTTTTTAAAAAAAGAGTAATGTCATCATAATTTTTTGTTGTCATCGTTGAGGTATACAGTACTTCCACCAGGCTGTACAAGTAAAGTATGTAACACTAATATAATTCACCTGAAGGTAGAAAATATTTCAGAAAGCTTAGTTATAAAAAATGGATGTTAGTGGTGTCTGCACATTGGAAGTTAACAATCAATTGGATCACTGTGTGGTAAAAAATGATTTACAGCATGTTATCCCTTAATCTCCTATGTGCTTTGAGTTCCAAATATAAAAGCGCTTTGTTTTATTTCTCTGCAGACCCAGTTTAAAGATGCCAGAAAACCTAGAAATTGCTTTTGTTTTTTATCTCAAGCTGCATAACTTTAGAAGAATCATAGCCTGTGCAGGGGAAGGTTGAAAAGGGGGAATATTTTATCAGAATATCCAAAAACTTATTTTCTTCAAAATATGTGAGTTTTGTGACAGAGGATGTTGGGCCAGCAAATGGTCCTTCCAGCCATCCTTGCTACCTCCCAGAAATTTTATGCCTTTGAATCTCTCTCAGCCTGGGTGGCCAAGATAACAAGGGGGCTTTGGTAAAAGAAACGGCTTTTTCCTTGGTGTTACCTTGGGCTCAGAAGAAGAAAGAGTCTCATTACCTGCTTCTATGCACACTTAGATACCAAGTAGTCACAGGTGCCTCCTTATGAACTGCCTGTAGTTTTCCACAGTTCAGTGGGACCTATCACACCATACGGCCTGTGTTTGCATGTTGACATCAAGAGGTGTGCTGATGGGACCTACCAATATAGGAATTCAACAATGCAAAGTGCATGCTCCAGGAAATTCAGCATATGATCTGTAAGGGGTACTGTGGTAGGTAGGAGACCCTCATGAAAGCAGCAGCTCTGTTCTCTGATGGACCTTAGCAAATACCACCAAACGATTTGTGCTGCAGTCACATCTGTGAGCTTTGTATACATGCTTTGAGGCTTTGTTTTGGTTGTTCCTGGGGGTGCCTTGTGGCATCTCTGACCTCAGCAGCATACACAGCCTGGAGGCTCCTGTTTCTCAGCTTACAAGCTGGCATGGGCTCAGTCTCCAGAAACTAATGTAAACTAATTTTGTAGAATGTGGTTCACTTATTTTTGGAAATTAGGCTTCCATAAATAAGCCTTAAAATAAGCCAGGGGTAAATAAATCTGGGGAATGTCCCAAAGGGCCAACCACTTGCAGAAATCTACTGCATAGGAGCTTATTAAGGATCTTATTAAGGTCTAGACTTTCTTTCCCATAGCCAATTAGACACAATCACTAAGTTGCTAATGAATGACCACAACAATGTGAGAGCAGCCAGTGCTCCCTGAGCTCTCAGAGTAATTTTCTATCAGCCCTGCTAGCAGTTTCACCCCAAGAGGGCAGCCTTCAACGGAGCTGCTGGGTGTCATGAAGATAGGGGGTGTGGGTGTGAATGGCCTGACTCTAAGAGCTTTGTGGCCCACTCCTCCAAAGAATTAGGAAGTGATGCACTGCAATGTAAAAGTTTGTTTCACAGTGAGTCACATTGGAGTATTATCTAGCTCAAGGCCTTGTACCCAGTGGGTGTTAGGATTGTGTGTGTGTGTGTGTGTGTGTGTGTGTGTGTGTGTGTGTGAGAGAGAGAGAGAGAGAGATTTAATTGGCTAAGTAATAACTTTTAAATTTTGACTTACGGAGCAATATAATCTGTTTTGTTACTTACAAATTAACTGAGGGCTATATCTATACAATACATTCTTAGTTTAGGACATGGAGAGATTTAAAAATTCCATACAAAATGTGTCTTCTTCTGAGAAAGCCCCCATGTATTTTATCAGATTCTCAAGAGTCCTTGAATCAAAATACTGATCTGTAGTCACTGATAACATATTTTCCCAAGGTGAAAGTTTTAATTTAAAAATGCAAATTATACAAGATATTTAATTGTTGAAATAACATACAAGAAATTCTGGATGTAGAATGTCCAGTCTATATTAGACATTCTACATCCAGAATTTCTTGTATGTTATTTTTTTTAGCTAAAAATAGAATTTTTTTCTATTTTAGCCATAGAATTTTTTTTTGATTTTTTTTTTGGTATTACTTTATTAAAATGCTATTGTCATGAGTAGATATCTATGTCTTTTTTCAGAGACTTCTAATTTTAAAATGTATTGCTCATTTAACTATTTAAATTATCATAGGCACATGAAGGCCATTTACATGAAAAAATAATGGTATTGAGCCTTAATCTTTTACAAAGAATAATGCTCTCTTAATCTGTAATGAATATGTACATGGGATTAATGAATATTCACACTTCTTCCAAATGTATGTAAATAAGATTTTGATAAATTAGACAAAAATATATGATATTCCATACCACGTCCTTTTATAATAAGCCATCCGCTATTTTTATACAGTGCTGTACAATGGTAATAAGTGAAATTTAAGAAATAAACCACACCAATACTCCCACCTCCACTCTACCCTTAATTTAGTACTCCCAAATGTGACTTAAATTATAAAGGTCTTATGCAGAAGGAATATTATCATAGTGCAGAAATATTTGTGGTAAGAATCTTTATCATTGAGTCTCGCAAAAATCATCCTTGAAGTATGTTCCTTAGAACTATATGCAGTATTAAAAATATTTTTTCTGGCTGTAGCTCTGTCTCGGTCATCCTCATTCCCTCTCTGACCTTTCCCTATGCTTCTGTAAATAATTTATTAAGCAATCTTTAATTGTAGTACAGACTACATCTTTGTCATTCTTTGAATATAGTGTCACAAAAATATCCCAGTCCATATCAGTTACACATAGGGATAAGCTTACAGACAGAGGTAAGAAGGGAGCACTGAGTAGGGTGCAAGCACTGGCAGTATTGACGGGCATACTCTGTCACGTGCTGACAACCTAGGGTTCTGAGCATTGGGAATTATAGCACAGACTCAAAATAAAACTTTTTTTGCCACTGTGATTTTATAAATTAATACAAATCCTCCAAAGACATATTCAAAAAAAATCCATGATGTAAATATTTAAGTGAAAGATAACTGTATGTCCTTACATAGTGCTGAAATATGTAGAACATTATATAGCCCATGGATGTGGAATTTGATGTGGAACATTATACAGTTTTCTTAAATACACATCTTGCTGTTCAATGATTGTATTAAAATTGCTACTACATGTCACATGTATACCTATGTAACAAACCTGTGTAGTCTACACACGTATCCTAGAACTTAAAGTAAAAATTTTTTAAAAAATTGCTACTAATCCTCTAACACATATTACATCCAATCGTGAGCAGCAAAAGCATTATAAGATATAAATAAAATTGAGAAAATAGTAAGTGGAAAATGCTTTATCGATACCTAATGAATACATTAAAAATTTTTCATTATTCATTTAAAACTCAAGTTCCAACTTTTCCTTTTTTTTTTTTTTTTTTTTTTTTTTGTAGAAATAGGATCTCTCTATATTACCCAGGTTGATCTGGAACTCCTAGGCTGAGATTACAAGTGTGAGCCACCACACCTAGCCACAACTTAAATGTGAAAAAAATGGCAAAAATGTGGCACAGTCTATGTAACAAATTAACATTTTACAATTAGCCTTAGATACAGTGAAAACACACACACACACACACACACACACACACACACACAGATTGAATCAATGGGATTTTTAAACAGGCTGTGGCACTCATCTCTCTCTCACACACATATACACACATGCATACATTTACATATGGAAATGAAGCATGTGACACATAGAAAATGCCATTTGTCTTTACTATTGCCAAGGGATTTTTGACCCATGTTGTAGAGAGGTACTGCCAGTCATCAGTTAGTCCTTAAATAGAAATGAGCAGGTGGTGACATTTTGGTATTTTGGCATTTCTTCTTAGCTATTGTATTGTTTGTAAATGTTACCATGATTAACGGTCTCTATTCTGTTCAATTTTTTGCTGCCAAAAGTGATACTTGGTAAGTAGTACAGTAGTTTCCAGTTCACTTACAAAGGTGTATAATCATGATCGTAAGTGGTGATGAGACACAAAACAAGTGAGGCTAGTTTGGAACTAAGTATTCTTGTGCTGTACACTCAGTTGACAAAGATGTCATTTACATAAAAATGTCCTCTGAAGATCTTGTCCAGAAGGCGCTTGTGACTTACTCTGTTTTGTGGAGCTGTTTCTTTTTCATAAAAGCAAATATGTTCAGAATTCCCAGTGTGACCCATTTGTTAGATAAGATACCTTGCCATTTGATTATGGAGGAAATAGGAATTTCAGCCCCTCTGAAAACCCACCATTTGGTGCCCAGGTTATAGCCATTCTTTGTCTCAAGTTCAATATTTCAATGGTAGGCCTTAAACAAGGCCATTTGCTGAGAAACCTTGATTTCAGCTGTGTAGTGACTAGGTTCAATAGAATAAATTTACCAAGCTAGTTAAAAAGCATTGTAAATCCACTTGTTTTCTCATTTTTAGACATAGAGAAAATGGAAAAGTTAGAAAAAAAAAGATAAAATCAGAAGTGTGGGCTCAAGTATTTTTTTCAACACTGTGCAAATCTACAATGAAGATGTTATACTCTGTTCACAGTTTTAAAGTCTAACAGACCAAACTTTTCATAATTCACATAGGACATTTGTATAAAATTAGCATCCTTCTTATAAAGTGCTAGGGTTTAACTCAAGGCAGAAGTAGTTTTAAACTAGCCTTGTGTTGCTCTCTTATATCGAAGATACATTTTTAGATAAGTAATGCAAAACACTAAGATTGCTTTCAGAACTTCACTTTTGTCTAGAGTAGATGAAACAGTGAATCTGTGGTTTTGTCTTCATCCAGCAGATGATATGACTTACCAAATCTCAGAGTATAGTTTAACACCAGCTATTCATTGAAAAAAGTTTCAATGAATTTTTGTCATTTTTTATTTTTTTATTTTTCTATAAGTAATTGGGGTACAGGTGGTATTTGGTTACATGAGTAAGTTCTTCAGTGGTGATTTGTGGGATTTTGGTGTACCCATCACCCTAACAGCATACACTGCACCTAATTTGTAATCTTTTATCCCTTACCCTGGAGACTATTATTCTAAGTTTCAATACATTTTCACATGTAGTGCTGACATTTTAAAACCAGCAGAGCTTCATGTCCATTTCATGCAATACATTGGGATATACATGTCTACCTTTTTCCCAGAATCTCTTCATTGTAGAATCCAAAGCCAACTCTGGTTCTCTAAGGTAAAAATTAAAGCATTTATAAATTTGGCTCTTAATCAAGCCAACACATATTAATTATTTAGGCTGCTATAATTAATGTCTCATCTTCAAAAAGTTCTATACTGTCAAACTCAAATATAGAATTATAGTGAAACTGAAATTTCCTCTGATTCAGAATAATGCCCCATCTCATTTTTCATCTTTTTAACTCTAAATCACAGCTCATATTACCATTCAGTATTCTACATTGAACCTAAAATAAGACTAAAAATGGCTTGGAGTTGAGATAGGGATCTTAGCGCTATCATATTACCTGAACTAAGGAAACGAATGACAGAATAAAATGAAAATCAGACAAAGGAAGACAAACTCCATGCAGTTGGTATTTAGAACCATGAGCAATTCTATAGAAAATGTCATTCTGTTTTCCTTCTCTTACCATAAGAAGACAAGGGAAGCTTATAGGATACCATACACTATATATTCTATCATATGGATCTCTCCAACAACAGAAACTAACTACATAAATTTTTGTGGAGCTTAATTGTATCTTTACTTACACCAAAGGCAAATAAGGTATGGTATGATTTTACTGCCTGTGTCCTTTCAGACCAGGCCTGTTGGAGAGGGCCATCATCATGGAGAACACAGAAGGAACTTTCCAAAGCCTCAGGAATCCTCCTTTTTCCAAGAGAATATAGATTAGATGATCAGATTTTTAGGGCTTCTTGAGAAGCAGTAGAAGTGAAGCCACTGACTTCTTGAAAATCCCTGCTCCATTGCAGAATATTTTACAATAAAACATCAAGGCTCAAAGCTCATGCATCAACATTCCTATGGTGTCTGGAGATCTGCCTCCCAGTGTTTACCGGAGATTGTGTATTCTCAAGGAAATGTAACTTTAAAGCTCTTAAGGAACTTAATTGGAAAATGTAAGATTTCTTGTTGATCCTGGGAAAGATAGAACTCGGATCTTCCCATCCCCTTTCCTGGAGGGATGATGGAAATTTTTTAATTTGTGACTTCTATTTGTTTTAACTTTCCATTCACACCGTCTTTTGTTTTAGGCCTCCCAGACCTGTAACCAGCATGAACGACACCCTGTTTTCCCACTCTGTTCCCTCCTCAGGAAGTCCTTTTATTACCAGGAGGTAAGTTCCAACCCTATTATAAAATAAACCCTTTCTTTGATCATGAGCCTTGATTTTGTGGTAAGAAAAATATTCTTATGTAAGCCAAAAGCAGAATATTGTTACTGGAAACTAGCTTGCAAATATCCACTATAAGTTTTTCATTTCATTCATTTGTATGTATTTAAAGAGGGGTAGGATGGCTTTGGAGATTAATGTCATCTCTGGAAACCTGCATTTATAATTTACCCACAGCAAGAATGTGAAGCATGTTTCAGTTTTACTACTGACACACATGCACCTCATTTCATTAAGGAAGTCACTCTTTTAGTCCTCAGAGTGGTCTGTTGAAGTCAAGGAATTAGAATTTCAAGATGCAGTGGTATTTTATTATATAAATGGTGAAATATGTCATTATTTAAAGCAAAGATACAAAAGAATCCTTTGTTGGTGAACCCTGAAGTTCCTGAGGCTAGAGACTAAAGACTAAACTTGGAAATGTAGTTTCCATATAAGTAATTTCATTGATAATAACAATAACTTTTTTAAAAGGTGGATCTGCATCTCATTTATTTGCACAAGATCCATTCCCATGTGAGCAAGAAACAAGAGAAGCAAGTATTTGTCTAAGAGTTAGCATCAGACATATGCAGGGTCAAGAGGTGCTCTGAGTCATTTGATCAAATATTGCGAATCAAGCACCAGATAATTATTTTATAAATACATGGAGAAGGCTCACAGGAAAGCAAAAACAAAGGTAAGGAAAATTGGAGTGAGTAATTGAATGTAAGACTTCAAATGTCTTTCAGTGGAAAAAAAGTACAGCCTCATATTTTACAAAATGCACACAATTCATCTTTTCCCTGAAGAGGTTTATAAGGTGCCAGTTTCACTGTAATATCCTGATACATTCAACTGAGGATTTGAAGACAGTGGGACTGTAAGAACACAGCTGACTTTTTTTTTTCCTCTAAGTTCCTGTATGTCCCCGTCAACAGGCACCTGAGATGAAGATGTTCCCCATAACTGTAATTAGCAGAATAAACAGAATGTGGCAGTACATGGTGTTTCTGATATGCAAATGAGGTCTGTGACAAGTGGAAATGAGGAGGCAGTTAAACAGCAGAACATCCACAGTAAAATAATACGGTTTAGGCCCTCAGTAACTTCCTTTCAGCACTCTTTTTTAGAATCACCAGCAAATTCAACCATTTTTCTTTCTTGAGTGAAATCATAAATTATAAAGTCTGTAAACGACACAGGTCTATGCATCTATCTAGGGAAGACCTGATGTGATATTTAGAAATATGTGCTTTGATTAGGAAGCTCTGCATTCTGCAAATGTCAAGCAGAGGTTGACTCCATCCTTACTGAAGGTCATTTTATATCATTTCAGCTCGGACGGTGCTTTTGGTGGATGCGTCTAGATGGATAACATGACTCCTTCTACCCTAAAATATCCCTATAATACTTTGAGCTGTTCTGGTTCCTCCAGGGTGCATGGTACCCATTAACCCAAAATATGATTATTTCCCTTTTTTCCCAGTTTTAGTCCTTTTGGAATATTCTCTGTGAACCACAGATACGTTGTTTACAGCTCACAGTTCTTCCCATCACCACAGAGATTGGCCTTTGGTTTCTGTTTGAGGGTGCTGTTCAATAAAGCTGTGTACACTAAATGTCTTTCCTCTCTGAGTGGGCCTTGCTCTGTCCATGGGAAGTTTTAATGAGGTCTCATTGTTTGAATCCCTCAGGTTACCTGAGGGGATAAGTGCATCCAGCCCTGTGGCTGAAGAGCATTCCCTCATAAAGCTGTACGTAAATCAGCTTGATCACGGTGCACGGTCAGTATCCCCACCCTGAACTGCTAATCGTAGTAGTAGTTCCATAGCTAGACTGATAGTCATTCTACTCTGGCACTAAAATCCTCTTGTAGTATGTCTTATTGGAGATAGAGGTCTTCTGGGGTTTAATGAAATCATGTTGAGAATTTTCAACTTGAGCTGGACTTCGCAGCTCTTTTCTCTCCTTTCCACATATTTTATGGATTTCATAGCCTTATACTAGTATATAAGAGATGTATATCTGTGACGTGTATCAAACTGGATCTTGTTTGGACAAGTCTCTGCTCTTGTACAATTTGCAGAACCCCAGTTGGTAATTTCTAAGACTCTTGAATTAAGGAGTCTATTGGAAAAATCATTAGCATTAACTGAGTGAGGCTAGGACAATGTCATATAGCTGGGCCTTACTGTAGTTAAAGAGTTGAGGACTTGCACCTTTCTGTCCCATTGGACCTGGTCCATTTTCCTCCCAGGAAGACAGTCTGATTCCTAATGAAGTAACAATTTCAAAATCAGTTTCTTTTTTGCAGTGCTTATTCTCTATCACTTGGTAATGCTGGTGGTATATCTCCTTTTATTTTTGACAGTTACCAGAAAATAGCCATTTATAGAAGTTACACAATGCTTTCAATAAATCCCAAATAAATTCTGGGAAACAGATGAAGCCATTGGGTAAAAATAAATGTACATACTAGCTAATATAAAATGAATCACTTTTGATTTCTTAATCATGTCTATAAACTAAGATCAATGAAAATCCATTATGCCAGATGTAGGCAGACATTAAAGGTCCTATACTTCTATCATTGAAACAGAACCAATGAAATATGACCTACAGCTCTGTTCTCACTTCTAGCCCACCCCAAAAATGAAATAAAATCTAAGTAAGCCAAGTATAGTGCTGGCCAGTATAGGGCAGCACTAAGAAAGTAGGGAAGTTCTCCATATTTTATTTAGCCTGCATGTTCAGTTTTTTGTATCGTAACAGATCCTAGAAAGATAAAGTGAATGAGGATAAATAGAAATTCCCACTCCAGAATTCTCACCACAAACTCCTGGCATTATTCACCTAGGGCCCTTTACAAGTATACTACTTTGATCTTCAAAAGACACAGGGATATAACTTTGAAGTCTTCGACATCCTAGTAACCTACTTCATACAGATTTATAAGTGTGTACCTCTGGTTACCAGCATCATCTGTCACATTCCCTGTTCTTACATCCTTTTGTAGCTATGTACTTGATTCACTTTTCCCTTACTTCAAAGAAAAAAAAAAAAAGGAATTCTCGAAGGCACTCTCCCTTGGTCCTTTAAAGTCTTCTTATGTGTGTGTGTGTGTTTATGTGCATGTGCACACATGCACATGTGTACGTTCAGTGCTGGTTAGAAATTAGGTATAATGTGGGTCAAATAACATAATCGATGGACTGATTCACTGCATTCATTTTCTTGATTATAAACTGTATTCCTAAGCCTCAGATTGTTTTCTTATAAATTTATAGGAAAGAATGGCTGACATGAAGGAAATCTATTATCACCACTAGGGAAAGAGCTCTAAGAGCTGTGTATGGTGAGCCAACAACATTATCTAAGCTTATGAAAGATAGTGTATTATTATTGCAAATATTATTGCACAGACTGATCACAAAGCCAGGTCCCAATGGCTCTTTCTCCCTTTCACTGCCCACAGCTCTGTGCTTCTTAGGATCTGCTATCTTTGTTGGCATCATGCCTCGTTTTTAAAATCTTAATTATCTTGCCATAATCCTTACTCAGTTTCTATGAGAAAGTTAGCCAATACTTTTTCACGTCAAGTAAGCTTCTTTCACTATGGCTAAGCTTCTTCGTTAGTCACAATAAAGACTAATAAAAAAATTAGTCACACTTCTTTTACCTCCAATTTTAGGAACATCATTTAAAGGTTTCACAGGTATTTTCGTAGTTGCAAACTCTAAAGTGGTAAGCACTCACAAAAGGAATCACCTTGACTATTCTCTATAACATCTAGCCAGATTTTGTCAATCCACCAAATGTTAGGAAATTGCTTATAATTTATATAGCATGTTAAACACAATCTAATATGCTAGTTTCTGGTTTGCTACAATAACAAGTAGTTAATTAATGATATTGTATTAGATGGCCGGGCATAGTGGCTCGTGCCTGTAATCCCAGTACTTTGGGAGGCTAAGGCGGGTGGGTCACCTGAAGTCAGGAGTTCAAGACCAGCCTGGTCAATGTGATGAAACCCCATCTCAACTAAAAATACAAAAATTACCTGGGCGCAGTGGCAGACACCTGTAATCCCAGCTACTCGGGAGGCTCAGGCAGGAGAATAGCTTGAACCTAGGAGGCAGAGTTTGCAGTGAGCTGAGATCTTGCTATTGCACTCCAGCCTGGGCAACAAAAGCAAAATTCCATCTCAAAAAATAAAAATAAATAAAATGATAACTCTATTAGGCTCTGTAGTTCCTATAGGGAGAGCACACCCACCCCAGATACTTCCCAAATCCTGACCCCTCCCAGAGGAGTAGCATTTGTGAGTTATTTTTTGGGTTGACCTGTTAGTAAGTTGATTGATAGGTTTGGGTTTTCAACCAAACAAATGCTAATTCACTCTGCCTTTTACATTTTTTTTTAAACATTTTTGCTTACCCAAAGATTCTTAACAACCCTGGCTTTTAATCTGACTCAAAAAGTTCAAACTAAATTTTAAATACTGTAATTTGATAATCAAAAGTGGCTGAAAATAAATTTGAGATACTAAATGTAGCCTTTCCTTTTGAAAAATCAAAGTTTTTCTCCATAGCTAATTTTTGCTTAGATTAATGCCCATCCATTTTCAGTCATAAAGCAGATAAATTTGTAAATCAACATCTGGCACCACCTTGAAGATCTTTCATTCTTTTCAAACTTTCTGGACATGTTGTATAAAATTTTATGAATTTAAATATTCACTCTCTGCAGATAATTCTTTACTTCATGTAGCTCCAAAGCTCTACTAATATGCTAGATTTTTTTCAAACTGGAATTACACCAGTTTTCACATCAACCCTAACAGTTTTCTATACTAAAATGTTAATGCACGATTAAAACCACAGTCACCTCTCTTGTTCGGTTCAGTAAACTTTATTCTCTTGCTAGAATTGCTTTGGCTGTTGTCTCTGCATGCCCTGTACCAAGCAAACTTTCCTAGAAGCTCTCTGGACAAAAGTGCAATTGCTATGAGTTGATGATACCTGGGTACAATGTAGTAAATTAAATATGACCTAAGAATTCTTATCTTTTCCATCGTCCCTGTTTGAGATGGTTCAACTTCTATGCCAGCCTGAATTGATGACAGCTAATTTTCCCACTGAGACACTAACCTATTTTTTTAATACTGGGCTATGAATTTTCATTTGATAAATATTTTATATTTCAGATATAAGCTATTGAAATCTAGAAAAAAAAGAAACAGAATGTTTCAAGACATTATTTCTTGATAAAACAGATTTGTGAATTGTTTTTTGTTGGATTTAAATTAGTGTGATGGTCTTATTACTAGACTATGTATTTCTAATGAGAAGGAAAATTTTATACACTATAGATAGTTACTTAAGGAGAGAGCCAACTTTACAAGTCATTCTTCACAAATCCAAATGTCACACAAGCTTACTAATAATTTTATCAATAGAAATGAAGATATGTATTCTCAATTTGCTATATTTCAAATATCATTTTCCTTTTAAACATTGTGATAATTATTCTATATTGATATAATTTGTTTCTATAATATTGGTTCTTTGTAAGACTGCAGCCAGGCCTTTAATATCATGTTCAATACAAGAAAAAATAATCTTTGTCAAGGGATAACATAGTAACTCAACATTAGCAGAAGTGATTTATAAAAGTGTATTTGAGGTATCCAGGAAGCATTTGTGTGTGGTTTTGTTACCTTTGGACCCACCCCTGCCAAATGTTTTCACTGAAGTAAAACTATTGGCATCAGTTGTCACCCTTCAAAACTAAGGGGATAATTTTTTTTAATAAGTAGAAACATTTTGAGATTGTTCTACTTTTCCAGAACCCATTGTGTCATTTTGTGTGTGTGTGCATGTATGTGTGTGTGCATGAAAAATTTTGGAAGAAGGTGTTTTTTTTATCTCTAGATATGCTACTTTCCAAAGGTCTAAAAAGGAAATGATGAGAAGCTAGAGAATTTTCGTTAGAGAAAAAAAAAAGTCTGAGGAAATATTTCCTGCCTTTTTTCTTTTAGCAGATATATGAACTTTAAAATTTACCATGTCATGCCCTCCAAGGTATGGCTGTTACCACAACCCTCAGTATAATATGTATGCAAAAGGATGTGCTCATACAGTGGCAAGGGATTAGTGAAAAGAAAAAGATGACAATAAGAAAAAGAGATTTGTGTGCATATAATTTTAGAAAAGATAGTCTTGCTTCTCTTTGAGACTCGGATTAGAAAAGGTGTAGCCCTTGGTCAAGGTGGGCCCCAAATAATTCCCAGTTTCAGAGCTTAAAAGGAAGAATGCACTTTGATTTGAAGATGAGGCATGTAGAACAGAAGTTTTTGGAGCTCAGGCTGGGTTATATGAAAGCCATTGTCATATTCTGACACAATGATATGCTGGAAGCACTCTTTCCTTAGTAAGGAAGTAGGTTCTATTGTGCCTGAACCTAAATCCCACAAAAAATTAGAAACTTAACATCTCCATGCAAACCGCAAATCTGCAAAATGAAGGTTTAGAACCTAAATTAGTCTATAAGATACTGTGATAATATAGTACCTTGAAGGGATCATAATAAGCCACACATCATTACTGTTTTAGTCCATTTAAGTTGCTATAAAGGAATACCTGAGGCTTCGTAATTGATAAAGAAAAGAGGTTTAGGCCAGGCATGGTGGCTCACACCTATAATCCCAGCACTTTGGGAGGCCAAGGTGGGTGGATTGCCTAAGATCAGGAGTTCAAGACCAGCCTGGCCAACATGATAAAACCCCGCCTCTGCTAAAAATACAAAAGAAGAAAAAAATTAGCTAGGCATGGTGACAGTTAAGCTCTAAAACTGGGAACTATTTGGGGTTCACCTTGACCATGGAAAACACCTTTTCTAATCTGAGTCTCAAAGAGAAGCAAGATTATCATTTCTAAAATTATATATATAATCCCAGCTACTTGGGAGGCTGAGGCAGGAGAATCGCTTGAACCCGGGAGACAGAGGTTGCAGTGAGCCGAGATCACGCCTTTGCACTCCAGCCTGAACAACAAGAGTGAAACTCTGTCTCAAAAAAAAAAGAAAAAAAGAGGTTTATTTGACTCGTGGTTCTGCAAGCTGTACATGAAGCATGAGGCATGGCATCAGCATCTGCTTCTGATGTAATAGATCCATCTATCTTCAGTTACACAAAACAATTGGAGGGATATTGGGCAGCAGGGCTACTGTAGATACTGCATAATGAACGTATGGAGGGAGATCTGCTTCAGCAGACAAAGGCTGAATGCAGTTTTGGCGGGATAATGGTACATCACAAAAAACACAAACTATGATGGCTTAAGGTGATTATTTGGCCCTAATGGGCAGTTTTCACAATTTTAAAAGGAAAACATCAATATGCTGGAAAAAGATAAGTATTAAGGTCATCAAGAAAGTAAATTCTCCTAAAACACAATCTAATTTATTTTTAAAGTCAATTTTGGGCTGGGCACGGTGACTTATACCTGTAATCTCAGCACTTTGGGAAGCTGAGGTGGCCAGATCACTTGAGATTGGGAGCTCAAGATCAGTCTGGCCAACATGGTGAAACCCCGTCTCTACTAAAAACACAAAAATTAGCCAGGTGTGGTGGCATATGCCTGTAATCCCAGCTACTCAGGAGGCTGAGGCAGGAGAATTTCTTGAACCCAGAAGGCAGAGACTGCAGTGGGCCAAGATGGCACCACTGCACTCCATCCTGTGTGACAGAGCAAGACTCCATCTCAAAAAAAAAGTCAACTTTGCTTGTGTACAGTTGAACTTTTTCAGTACAGCAATACTTTGTGTAACAGATGTCTTTCTGAAGAGCTGAGTGAAAATGTCATTCATCTGACAAACATGCATGCCTACTCTTTGCTAGTCATTTTCTTTACAAATCAAATTTAATATTAAGTTTATCAGGGACCTCACTATTCAAGGAATCTTTTAGTATACATTATTATAAAGCAAGAATTCCAACTATAATGTGCATAATTCTAATGTGAGATGTATAAATTTCTATTTTTTAGTTCATGATCTGAAAGAATGGTGCTTTATAGTAGAACCTCAAAACTTGTAGTATAAAGTTTTTAAGATTTTAACTAATGTATAAACCATCATACATATATTTAGTAGATTTAGAATTTCTTGAAAATTTTTGGCAGAAGCTCACAATTTAGATCCCAATAGTTAAATGTTTGGTATTCAAACAAAGTCAGGCAATTTATTTTTCTGTTTTCTATGAAGAAGTAGACGGAAAATTTTAGGTTCACCAGTGTGTAGGGCAAATTCTTAACCTATAGAGGAGCAAACTTTAAACACATTACCAATACAATTGTAATACTAAGAATTAATACCATATTTCTCAATGCAGCGTGACTACAAATTGTCACAGTAGATTTTGGATGACTTTACCATAGCTGCACTTAATGAATTATTAATTATATTTCTATTTATACTTTAATAAAACTATATTTTAGACTTTAAAATTGTTATTTAAATTACTAAAATTAGTAGTTCCCATAATGAATCTACAATGTTAAGAATTTGCTTTAGCAATGAGACTATATTCACTAACTTTGCATTAACATAAACATAAGAAATAACAATATATATGTATAAGACTCAAAGGTGTATTTCTCTGTTCCTCTGAAAATTTTCTTTGTAGCTGCACAGCCGAGATCATGTGGCTTGTGCTTGGAGTAGTAAAATACTTCTAATAAGAAGCAATCTCTAGGTAATTTTCAAGTCTTTCTATTCAGCACAGAAAGTTGGAGAATGTAGGGAAGGCTAGAGTAAAGTTCTTCAGTGGGCTCTAAAGGCTGGCAGAACTTAGTGAACTATTGGACTGTTTACATGATATGCCATGATAAATGTTGAATGAATTTTCATTGCGTCTAGACATACCCAATATAAATGCTTGCTTGTTAAGCAAATAGCAGAGGTCAAATCTGGGATCATGGTGATTGTAATTGTGGTTCTCAGGCTGGGTATTCTACTCCTACTTGAACTCTGGAAATCTGAAAACATTTCCAAAATAATAAGAGATCTGTCCAAATGGAACTTGGATCTAGACCTGGGAGTGTCTGTTGCCAGTTTCTATTCTTGAATTCATTGCCGTGTTTACGCTCTTCTTGGCTTTCCCATCTTATTAACTAGCTCTCCTCCCAAGGACAGTGAAGTAGAGCAGAGCAAACTGCTGGCTAGGGCTGCTCCAGCTTTTCTGAAGGGCAAAGGGTAAGTTACAGCCAGAGTGTACTGGAACCCTGCATTAACTAAACTAAAAATGGAGAGTTCTTTTGTCAAAAATGCTTTGTGTGTGAAAGACCATCTTTAATTCAGTAAAAGCAGCTCTGCTATAACCCAATTAACAGCACTAAGTAGCTATTTCCAGTAGACACATCTGTGTTGTTATTCACTTTCCCAGATTTGTTTCTTTCTTTTTTGAAATGACTAAGCTGAAGATTCAATTTTCTGAAGGATATTTTATCTTTGCTTGCAACCCATTTCAATGTATTTACTGTACAGATGAATACCTTGGCCTTAGTGGCTGAAAAATATAAATCTGTTTTCTAAAAAATTATTTAACCTAAATGGAAGTCTTTATTTTTAAAGTTAGTGAAATAGAATTGCGGGTTTTATTGCTTGGATTTCGCTTGTGTTTTTCCTAGCACATCACTTACTACCCTTCCTTTACTTCCTTGGTTTTCTAAATGCCTTTTCTACCAAAAACTCACTCCTACCTTCTCTGCTTATTTCTGTCCGCCTCACTTAACAACACCCTTTCTTTCCCCCTGCCCTGTTTCAGGATACAGTACAGCCTGAATGTGGCAGACAGGCTAGCTGATGAACATGTTCTCATCGGGTTGTATGTCAACACGCTCCGGAACAACCCCTCATGGTTAGTGCAGGTTTGGCTGCTTGACTATCCTTAGAGAGGGATACAGTCTGAGCTGGTGACAAGCAGTCTCAGCAAGGAGCAAGGTCACTGGATGCCAACAGTGACACTGAAGCACTGTTAACTGATTCAATTAAGAAGTCTTTTGTGGCCGGGCATGGTGGCTTAAGCCTGTAATCCCAGCACTTTGGGAGGCCGAGGCGGGTGGATCACGAGGTTGAGAGATCGAGACCATCCTGGTCAACAAGGTGAAACCCCGTCTCTACTAAAAATACAAAAAATTAGCTGGGCATGGTGGCGCGTGCCTGTAATCCCAGCTACTCAGGAGGCTGAGGCAGGAGAATTGCCTGAACCCAGGAGGCAGAGGTTGCGGTGAGCCGAGATCGCGCCATTGCATTCCAGCCTGGGCAACAAGAGCGAAACTCCGTCTCAAAAAAAAAAAAAAAAAAAAAAAAAAAAAGTCTTTTGTGATGTTAGCTTGGATACTTCCCATAAGGGAACCATAGGATTCATATCCTTGTTTATATCTTAGCTAAAGGGAAAACTTGCATAAAGGGATACCGTGCTGAATATTAGCCTTCAGGTCGATTCAGAACTCCAGGTCCACCAGTCAGTTCTGTGCCACATGTCATGTCAGATTACCTACCACAGGATGGTGATACAAGAATTTGTCTTATTCCAAGAACGTGGATGTCTCTGCTGATTTGGAAAACAATGCCTCATTTTACTTAAGATAAGAGTGAAAAAGAACAAATGCGATGTGATCAAATCGCAAAATAGGAATCATTTCTTTCACAATGATAACAGTGGGAAAAATTGTCTTTCAGCAGTTCTACTATACATGTTTCTGATGACTATCCTGCTAAAGCCTGCTTTTACATCTTGGAATACACAAAACATAGTTTTGGATATGTTAAATTCAGGAATTAAGATAGCCCTACATATTTGGATAAAGGCATTCATAAGGCTTTTCTCCATTTTAATTGTGACATAAGAGACTCCTTCCATTGGTTAACGTTACTTGATGTTAATAATAAATGTGGATTTTCTACTTGAATGAAAGGAAAAGAACAAACTATATATTTGTCACATGTATTTTTCAATATAGTTCAGACTACTGTTTTATGATCATATTTAGCAAACCAGTTCCTTGAATCATATGTCATTTTACTCAACCACTTCAATTTTCTCTGAACTAAGGGCCCATGGATTTTTCATAGTTTTAATTATTAGGAGAGCCAATGGGTTAAATTTTCATTAAAATGTTTCAGACATTTAGCATAACAAGTCCCCTTTCCTCTACTACTAGAGGAAAAGTCACTGGCAAAATTAATGAGAATTACATTAAAAGTAATGGCAAAAACCACAATTACTTTTGCATCAACCTAGTATTTCAGCAAGGCATCCCTCAGGTGCTAGGCCGTTGCTCCGTGCTCCTTCCCTTTACCATTTGTGTTATTAGCCACTTTGTTTCTGGACCTCTTTCCTCCTCACTTGAATATTTTCAAAATTTCTTCCTACTGCTGCTTCTTAGACCTATTTTTGCAAGATTAGTACATGAGATTACTTTTAGTTCTCATGAACTGATGAACATTTATGTGTTTACATGTATCTTAATTTGTATTTTTTAAAATGTATAGCCAGTACACTAGTTTAATTTTCTCTTATATCCTACTGTTTAAGGAGATAAAAATGTACTCTTCAGCTGACATAAATCCATCTCTTTCTTCAAATTTTGTGAGCTTCTAGATTAAATAATATCCACTTTTTCACAACTCAGCCTCTCAAAACTACAAAATTGCTTTATTCCCAAGGAGTTTGGTACTCCAGTGTTACATGGTAGCTGAAACAATAGAACTAAGCACAGAAGTTTTGTTTTAGTTGTATTGGTCATCTTTGAAGAAGAACACAGTCAGTATACATTCAATTGTAAGACAATGATGCAATCTCAAACCATGTCCTCTTCCCATAATTCTAAGCACACTCCAGTTATTTCTACTGCTCTTCTTTGATCTTTTCTTAATTAAGGTTATAACAAAGAAATCTCCAAAGAGAAAAGCTCAGAGTTTGTCACTACCAGCCATTTTCCCTACTCAAGTGATTAATCATATTGACTTGATAGCTACTTAAGCCATAAATCTGTCTCAGCAGAGACACCCTGCATCTGCTTGATGAAAGCTAAATGTGATTTGTATTTTGAAAATAAAGCAGAATTTAAGACCAATCAATCAATGAAAGAGGCTTTGTTTTAATAGCTGCACCCTCCATATTTCTCGTTTTTTTCTATCCTTAAAAAATTCCAACTTTGTTTTCAAATTTCTCATTTTTCTTCCCTTTCCTTTATGCTTAATTAGATCCTAACAATTCCTCACACCTGTCATGTTTCTATAAGTAATGTAATAATCTTTTACCTCCTTTAACATCATTGTAGCTACAATGCTTTATCCACATTAAGTTACAGCGAGACATAGAATAATAGTAATAATAATAGTGTTTTTAAAACACTTACCTCAGGCCAAGCTCTATGTTCAGAGCCTTAGATACATGATTTCTCCTAGTCCTTAGAGTAAGCCCATGGAGTAAATAAGATCATGCCCATTTTATAGATAAGTAAAGGTATCATTTCAGAGAGTTTACCTGACTCTCCTATAGTCCCACAGCTAATAAAAAGTGGGGCAGAGATTTTAACCGTTATCCATCGAAGTTCCTTACCACTGCGTTTCATCACCTCTTTTAAAACCTACATCAGCACAGGCCCTTCAGGAATCTTTTGTGGATACTTCCTTTACACTGCATCCTCCATGTATTTACTTAAACTGCCTTTCTTATTCTAGTATTTTTATTTGATTTTAGCAAATATTTTGAGCACATACTAGTAATAGGAATGGTGATTCTTAACAGGTTACCTTTTGCATATGCAATTTAATGAGTTGTGACTTTTTATGTTAATCGTAAGCTTCAAAAAGGGCAAGAGTTTTGTCTTCAGTCTCTTTTATGTCATCACAACAGCTGGAGTAGGAATAATAAATCTTATATTTATGAAATGCTTCAAAAATTACAGAGCCTTTTTCTACACATTATTTAATTTACTTCTCATAGTACTAGAAGGTCAGATATGATTATTTCCATTTCACTGTTAACAAAAGATGAGCTTTGAGACACTAAGTGACTTATCCAAAGTTGCGTGCTGGTAAGGGCTTGCAAACAGGTCTTATGACACTGGGTCCCATCCATTTTCCACCCCATTCCTTGGCCTCATCTGTGCACCCTTCATGAGATGCTCTGCAAACAGGACCCATATAACTGTTCTCCATCAGAAGATTTGATTTTGCCGTTATTCAGACATAATTCTGATTAACTCTATATGGTGGTCTTCTACCCTGTATTAACTACTTAACACAATGGGAAACTGACTTATTTATAGTAGTTTGCTGCTAAATAAACACTTATCTGATTGCTAGTTCTGATGTCAGATAAGTCAAATAAATAAACTGCAGCTCAAGGGAGAATTCCTGCTTCCTTCCTAATTCAGTGAAGTTTTAAAAACCTTAATAATTTGTATGCACCTTCTTCATTGCAGGAGAAGGAGTCTGAAAATGTAATACAGTGCAGGCTTTTACTGCCCTCCTGTAAAGTTTGTCAAATACCTAGACTTGCTAGTTTATAGGCAAAGTCTGTAGTGGACCAACCAAATGATTGGAAACCAGCCCAGAACTTCTACCTCTAACTGTTGTCACTTGATTAGACTCCTGGTGTCATATGACTAGGTTAAAATTGTTTCTGTGTTTTTCTCAAGTACAAAAAAGTGTGCATTTGTATTGTGAATAGATTTCTTGTTAAGTGGATTAATAATCCATCTAGTTTAAAATTACTCCACAATATTTTATGCTTGGGGGGAAAAGACATCTAAGAATGCCTATTTCTGAATTTCATTTACAAGGTCTAAATTTTTATTAGCTTGCCTTCTTAAAACTCTTTAATAGATTCCTATTGCACCTAGTTTACAACCCAGACCTCTCACCATGGTTTACAAACCTTCTTGTGACTTAGCTCTTGCCTACTCCTCTCTCAGTCTCTGATCTCTGGGATTCTCCCATTCAATCACTACATTTAGCTCATGTCACTTTTTGATCAATTCCTACAGTGAACCAAGCTCTTTCCTGCCTCAAGGCCCCAATACTAGTTCTCCCCTGTCTAGGACATTCTCTCCCATCTTATCCCGGCTATATGCACATGAACTGGCTTGTCTAGCTTCCAATATTAGATTAAAGACACCTCCCCCAGTAGGGGAAAGAGGGAAGTAAAGAGGGAAAGAGAGAAAGAAAAGGAAGGAAGGAAAGAGGAAAGAAGGAAAGAGGGAGGGGGAGAGAGAGAAAGAGAGAAAGAAATAAGAGCTATAAAGACCACCTATTGCTTTTGTAAACTTCTTCACTGATTCATCTAAACTGTATTCTTTTTCATATAACCTACAATACTGGCCAGTAACCAATCAGGGGCAATAAACCTGAACTTGCAGATTGGCAGTGAGGGTAGGAAATAGCAGGTAAAGCTAACACCAGGATGAGGAGAAATTAACCAAGTGGACATGGGTAGAGGAGGCAGAGACATTGTTCAGGGCAAAGAGAACATGGAACATTTGAGGAACTTACCTGTGCTAAGTCTACTACAGTAATGATGTTAAAGGGTGAAGCTAGATTATGTAGAACTTCACAAGTCTTATTTAGAAGTTTGAGAGAGAGGAAATCATGTTTTTTAACTTTTATATGTTCAGGAGGTACAAACGTCATTTCTCACATACATATGTTGCCTAGTGGTGAAGTCTGGGCTTTTACTGTACCCACCCAAATAATGAACATTGCAATAAGAAACTATTGAAGGGTTTTATGGATGGGAGTGGACAGCCAGCTCCTTTTTAAGAGATCACTGACTACAGGATAGAACTAGAGGGAAGTTACAACACAAATAAAATCAGAGCAACCTGTTGAGAGGGCTTTACACTAATTCAGAAGAAGATGACAGTGGCCGGAAGCACATCAGGAACAGTTGGAGTAGAAGGAAACAGAGGAATCTGAGAGTTTTTAGAAGGTAGAATGCATGACCTTGACTGTAACATAGGGAGTTGTTGAAGTCAGGGTCTCAATAAAGGAGTTTAAAGGTGGCCCTTAAAGAAGCCACTACTCTGGTAAATTCTTATTGCTATCCATGAAGATTGTCATTTCACGATTTCCTGTCTTTTTTCTTTTCTCCAAACCACTCACAAAGGGCCACTACACCAAGCTCTCCCCATTCTTCAGTCCCATAAAACCACTTATCAGTGTCCAGTGTCACTTTGTTCCTTTCTACCCTGACTCTCTTGAGCTTGCTGACTCCTAAATGCCAAAAAAGTACTCTATTCCCTTAGCATTTTGCTCTGAACCAACTGCTAAAGATAGGAAATAATCTCATAGGGCAATCTTCCATTTAAGTTAATAATGCTTTCTCAGGCACTAATCCTCTTAATAGAAGAGTAGTACATGAAACTCTATGGCCTTCTAAATTAATTTCTAGTGATAAAATTCCAGTCACTATCCAGGCTAATAGAAAAAAAATATGAAAAGAAAATATAGAAGCATTTATATATGCATTTGCTTTTACATTTATGTATACTACATGCTTTGGATCACAGTATTTTCTGGTTGACTATTCTAACCTGGAAAGCAGAACAGGCCCAGAAAAAAAAATCAAAGGAATGTGAAGAAACTCTGATTTCCCAGAAATCTTTGCTAAATCATACTTTCAGAAGCCCTAACTCAGTTGGGGCCACTTGAGTTTCCTAGACCACCATTTTGAAATCACTGGCAACAGACACTGGCCATGCACTTCAGGTATAAAGTGGAGAGCTTTCAGAATAATGGATTCTCCCACTCTGAAATGCAGCCAACACTGCAACCACTTTTTAATTCATCATAGTCTTGTAGCAAGATTACTGACTGTAAGGTCCTGAAATGAATAGCCAGGGCTGGAGAAAGTGTTGGAAGTGGTATTTATTTTAATGATTTAAGGATTATTGGTCATTCATTTTCAACTATTTGTAATTGAAATCTTGAAATAGTGGAATTTATCAGAGGAATGCCTCCTTCATCCTTGTATAATTTGAGCATACTGAAAAGGACCCATAAATTGTTCATGTGCACAAAGGGGTAATATATCACACAGGCCCTCATTCACTCAGTGTTGAGGGGGGAAAGGCATGGAAGTATGAGTTATCACTTGCTATACAGAATTCCATATCTTCAGGTCTTACATTTCCAGAAGGCTTTTTAAAAAGATAACCTTCATATTACTTACACTAGCCAGTCATTCATGTTAAAAGATACTTTCATCATGAAGTTTTTTTTCAAGGTTTTTAAAATTATTTATCAAAATACTCACAAGTGTTTATGATAAAGTCACTTTCAGGGAGTCAAAGAGGTCATGTTCCTGGGCCTGGAGCAATGGGTATTGTTATCTGCAAACATTGTGTTGAATTAGGTGTATTGTCTCTAATACATGAGCCAGAAATGATAAAACATGTTAAAATTAAATTCAGTTGTTTCTTTGTGGGGTAGTTGTATGTCTAAAGCAAAGGCAATGTAACTTTCTCTTTCTCATTGAAGTTGTAAAAAGGAATTTAGTTATTATTTTTAAATGTTGCAGAGTACAGACATTGTTTTATAAAGACAAACATCTGCTTTAAAGCATCAGTTTTCCAGAGCTAACTCTGCCTTTGCTATCAAAATTATTTTCTTACTCCAAATCTAAGCTTGTGTACTGAATAAAATCTCAGTCCACTGGGATTGATACTATACATTATATAAGCCCCGTATCCTAAAATTTTCCATCTTAAGGATATGTTTATAAAATATCACATATGCTGCATGGGTATCTGTTAAATACTCATGAAAAACTTTCTTTCTTATATCATTTATATTTAGGCTTCATTTCACATATTTGTGTTTTCCATTTTGTTTTCAAGATCTTCTAGATCCTTGATACTCGGTGTCGAACAAGTACACCTGACCAATATTATGGACATCTCTTGGAAGCTTGTTAGAAACTCATTTTCTCAGGTCCCATCCTTCCAACCTACCCTAACCCACCACCACAGAACTAGAAACTGCATTTTCACAAGATTCCTAGGTGATAGGCTTACACTGTAAAATTTGAAAAGCACTGCTCTAGATAATTGTTGGATGGTAGATGATATTTTGAAGGAGATGAAAATCACTAATGGATATGAACATGTCACTTAAAAGGCAAAATAATAACATTGTATTAACTAATATTTTTGAACACTTCATGTGTTTCAGGCATCACACTCTTTTGATGCTTTCTGTATACGTTATCTCATTTGAGCAAAAGGAAAGAGAAGCCTCTTTTTCTGAGGATGGAGAAATCTAATTGTTAGACAGGGAAATTCAGGTATTTTCTAGTTATTTATTATAGCCCAGAGAAAAGGGCTGAGTCTAGAGTGGACATATTCAAATTAAAATAGCTATAGCTTACATATTTAAAGAGTATAGACTAGAGCAGAGATAATGAAGACAGGAATGTCTTATGAATGACCAGAAAAAAAACTTGTTGTTTAGTGGATTCAGCCAATCAGAGATGAGCTATTTGGCAATAACATAGCCAAAATGCTGGAAGAACATAATTACTTTCACCCATCTTCTCACTTCAGAACAAAGGTTAAGAGACTATGTTTCATGTTTACTCTATTTATAAATGTACATATAAATGAAATGTAATTGTATATTACTTTATATGGATCTAAGTGATTGTAGTGAATAATTCTTACCATCTTAATATTTGCATAAGAGGGTGTCTTTTTAAAAATTATACTTTAAGTTCTGGGGTACATGTGCAGAACGTGCAGGTTTGTTACAGAGGTATACACGTGCCATGGTTGTTTCCTGCACCCATCAACCCATTATCTACATTAGGTTTTAATATGTATTTATGAGTTAATTTCTTTAAGGAAGAGCTTTAAGTATAAAAACTGATGCAGAAGAATATAAGTATGTTTATGAATGAGAGGAACTGGTTTCTGGTCTTGATTCTGAACTGATACATACTACAATAGCCAATAAGCCAAACTTGTCTATTAACAAGATTAGTGTTATTGGTATGTTTGTTAGAATTATTTTTAATGGCACCCAAAACTTAATCTTGAATGGAAGGTTTCAGAGAATGAAGTTTTCTGAAATATGGAAGAATTAATAATGATTCTATTTGCATTAGTTTTTAGGAACTCAGATTATCCTTATTCTAGTACGAATAGTTTCTGTAAATGAATAGGAGACACTAAAACATTCCGTAATGTCATTAGGAGTTACTACTATAATTCTGTTTCTCTGGAAATAAATATAAAAGGCAGATTATAAATAGGTAGTAATATTATAGATGAGACTTGTATTAGTTACCTTATGCTGCATAACAAATTATCCCAAAACTTAGTAACTTAAAACAACAAACATTTGTTATCTCAGAATTTCTGTAGGTTGGGAGTCCAGGTTTGGCTTAGCTAGGTCCCTCTGATTCAAGGTCTTCCATGAGGTTGCAATCAAGATGTCACCTCAGGCTGTGATCTCTTCTAATGGCTCTGCCAGTGGGAATCCATTCAACTGGTAATTGCCTTGCTTGGGTTTCTCATCACCTAGGTCTTTCCATAAAGACTGCTTTATGACCTGACAGCTACTTTCCTACCAAACAGCCCAAGAGAGCTAAAGAGAAAGCAAGCAAGCCCAAGATGGAAGCCATGGTATCTATATAATCTCATCTCGGAAGTGACATTCCATTCCTTCTGCCATATGCTATTTATTAAAAGCAGATTAGTAAGTCTAGCCCATCCTAAGGGGAAGTAAATTACATGAGAATGTAATACCAGCAGGTAGGGATCACTGGACATTGATCACAAGATTTTTTTCTTTCTTCTTGCTTTCATATTTTCTATCATGTCAATTTTGAACACACGTTACTTGTGTAATAAGGAAAGAAAAAACGTTATAAAGTCAATAAATATAAGGAAAAATTCTTCTTACATCAGATATTGATTAGAATAGTCATTTCTCTGTGAGGCTTTCTTAGTAAAACAATTGAATTGACTGAAGACAGGATTTATTAATGACCTTCCGGACTACATATTAGATCATGTTATGAATTCAAGTCTGCGATTGTTAATCTAACAGGATTTTACGTAGCTTGCAAATTTTTTGCACTGGGACGTTGAAATAGTAAAAACTCCTGATGGTAATATGACTGCAGCTGCCTTTCTCAGTTGCCTAACAGTCTCCTTCTTGTTCTGTTCTTAATAGCATGCTTGAGAGTTCAAACCGGCTTGATGAAGAGCACAGGCTAATCGCCAGGTATGCGGCAAGGCTGGCAGCAGAGTCCTCTTCGTCTGTAAGTAGTTGGAGTAAAAGGATTCATCTGTTGGCATCATCTGTTGAATTTTATATGTCATGTTATTGTTATTATAGCTGGTGCTAATTACTAGGACAACTCGTGCTAATTTATTATGCATGTGTTTGTTGCTATGTTTGTGGTGTCTTGGTGGTGAATTTACAGTTTAAAAATGGAAGACTTGAGGAACAAAACCATCCACAGTAGTGTGACCCTGGAATCAAGCTGGAATCCTCGCATCCCCCTTCACTCACTGTCAACCCCATGTGAAGACCCAAGGAAGGGGGCAAGGACTGGTTGTGATTCCTTTAATGTGTTTAAAGCAGGTGTGATTAGTGAAGGCACTAAGTTTAAGATAGAATAGTTGTAAGTGACACTGAATATATGCCAGTAGAAATAATAGAGCTAATAGCTTTCTCCATTTGTGTCTGTCTCTAAGACAAAAGCAACTGTCAGCTCGACACCTTGATTGAGAATTCATCTGTGCTGACTGAGGGTGAGTTGCAATTAGTGTGTCACAAAGGACAATGAGTGGCAAGGGAGCAAGTGGGGAAGCTTTTGCCTGCACCTCTCACATCAGATGTTGCAGTTATCAGAGCTCTTCATGTTGAGCATTTAACCTAATGATCCCAGAAGGGAGCTGCATAATGACCCATTGCATTAGCCCTGGCACTTGCTTTCTGACATCAGTTACTATAACACTGTTAGAAACTAACATGAGCAAGATGGAAGGGATCCAGGGCAGCCTAAAAGTGTACCATGTGCTCCCAGAATCAGACATGATAAAACAGATATAATTGGAATATATGAAATCTTCAGGGCCATAAGTAAGGAGCAAATGTAAAAGCAGCTGAGAATGTGGGAGAACTAGATTTTAGGACAAGCAACCCCTCCAGAAGTCACTTGAAAGTAAAGGCAAAACATGGTTTCTGGAAAAAACCCTCTTTTCCAAGTTTTCTTCCTTTATCCATGCATATACCTCTATAAACAGAGGCCATGGTATACCAAGATATGGGATTAGCAATGTGTGTCTCAGATCTCTATGACCTCATGCAAAGCACTGCTTCTTTGAATTCAGTCTCCTCACCTGTACATAGGTGTACATATACTTATTATATATGTCAGTGCGGCCTGTTATTAGCATCCACTGAGATAGTAAAATGTATTAAAGTGCTGCATAAACCAACAATTACAAAATTGCAGCCTGCAGACCAAATGTTTTGCTGGACACCACAGTGTTTTCAATTATTTATTAGACGTCAGGACTTACAAATCAGATGGTTTTCCTTGGAAGTCTGGATTTTCATCTTATCTTAAAAGACTGACCACATCAGATGCGTGTTCCTTCTGACAGCAAGCAGCTGGAATGGAGGCATTCCTCTGCTGCATCGGACAGAGCAAGCGTGTGGCACTTTGCCACAACCCCTACCCTGCTCACCTCCCTCACTTGGGCTACTTCCCCACCCCTTTCAGCAATTGAATTAGTGATCCCTGGCAGATTGCCAAATCTAGATGCACATGCTATTATTTATGTGTGCCCTAACTTGTTCCATTTCTTTCTGAAGAATATTAGTAACTTGTGTTCCTTGCCTACTTACACTATATATAACCTTTGTGGATCCATCATAGGAAAGATACCATCCACACATTAATTCTAGTTACTTTGTAAATCTCTTCATAACTACATATTAAGAATAGTATGATTAGCTGAATAAATCATGATTAGTAAGATGACACTTGGTTAGAAAGGAGATAGAAAGGTCATTTACTTCGGTCAATGTTTTGCATTATAATTCCTGATCTATTAATATACATAGCAAGGCAATGACTGAAATTTACAACTGGCTCAGATAAGTTTCTACCATTTATCAATACATAAAGTATATGCCAGAAAAGGAAGCTTATGTAATGAAATCAGAAGAAAATCTTGAATCACAGGTCAAGGCTGCCATATGCCAGAATTAGCTATCAAAAGTCATGTAGAATCTAAAATACAGGACCTCAAAATTTCTTGTTAGCTACACAAGTCATTCTTTGCTGAAAAGAGATGCGAATTAAAAAGCATAGACAGCTTAATAAAAGCCAAACCTTTACAAAACTTAATCTTTCCTGCAGTTAGGTTTATGGACATTAAAAAGCAGGACAAGATTCTCTGCATCTGGCTTAGGCAACAGTTGCCATTTTAAAAAGCTTTGCATTCTTTGTTAGAAAAATTAGTTGTGATTCTTAAAAATTTGTTTTTAAAACAATAAAAATTGCCATGGAGGAATTTCTAAAATGTACTGTAAAGCAAAGAAAGCAAGACACAGACAAGAGTACATAATCTGACCCCATTTTGTAAACCAACACTAAATAAATCCTTGACTAAATATACATAAACATACACAGATATATATATATATGTATATATATGTATATATATATATATAGTATGATATGATTAATGATATCGCTGTTTATATGAGAATGGAGAAAGCTATAACGGCAGGTATACCATTTGTTAAAGCTGATTGCATAACTGAAAATGATGAGCTGGAGTGGTGTGAAGGTAGACAAAGCAAGTCAAGGAATATATGTGAGTATGTGAATTCATCAATGTAAAATTACACGTGTGTATTAAGAAATACATAAAAGTTTGTTGATCAGAAAACTCAGAAAAGTAAGTCGTCTTAATGATTACTTTAAAACTGTATTTTTATTCATTTATTCATTTATTTTTTTGAGATGGAATCTTGCTCTGTTACCCAGCCTGGAATGCAGTAGCATGACCTCAGCTCACTGCAACCTCCACATTGGGCTCAAGCGATTCTCCTGCCTCAGCTCCCCAAGTAGCTGGGATTGTAGGTGTTTGCCACCAGACCCAGCTAATTTTTGAATTTTTAGGAGAGACGGGGTTTCCCCCTGTTGGCCAGACTGGTCTCGAACTCCTGACCTCAAGTGATCCGCCCAGCTCAGCCTCCCAAAGTGCTGGGATTACAGGCATGAGCCACCATGCCTGACCTAAAACCATATTTTTAATTGTGCATTGCAGTAATTGAACAGTAACTATAGAGAAAGCACCCTTTCAACAGTGCAACATTTTTAAAAAGCCACCTATAATGAAAGAATAGGTATAATGGGGACAGTGTGGCAAAAATAAAATCGCTTCCCAGAGACTTTCAGTCAGACAGCTGAAAAATTATTTTTCCTACCTTTTGTGTATTTGTCTGCCAGAGAATTCTTTTCTGCCTTCCACCTCACAGGTGTGCTCCAGATCCACAGAAAAGTTGGTCCATAGGAGAATGGCAATTAAGTTTTACGTATTTGCTTTTTATGTTTTGATAGAAATAGTTCCCTCCTCCTTGTCTGCATATCTCATGACTCCTGCCTTCCCAAATACATAGATTCACTTCTCAATATGAAATCTTATAAACTACATATTTTACAGCAGCCAACTCAGCAGAGAAGTGCTCCTGACATCTCCTTCACCATCGATGCGAATAAGCAGCAAAGGCAGCTGATTGCCGAGCTAGAAAACAAGAACAGGTGAGGCTTTGTAGATGTGCTGGCTTGTTTGATCAACATGCACATTCATTAATAACCTATGGTCATGCTTTAAAGTTTCAGGGCTTTACACCTCGTATGCATATTCAAGAGAAGGTACCTACAGTCAGTGATGCTCGCTTCTGAAAAGCTGTCTGTGTGTGCATGTATGTGTATAGTTCTGAGATGTCAATGCAGTTAATGTTGTTCCTCTAGTCAGGCATCCCCAAACTTTTTACACAGGGGGCCAGTTCACTGTCCCTCAGACCATTGGAGGGCCGCCACATACTGTGCTCCTCTCACTGACCACCAATGAAAGAGGTGCCCCTTCCTGAAGTGCGGCGGGGGGCTGTATAAATGGCCTCAGGGGGCCACATGCGGCCCGCGGGCCATAGTTTGGGGACGCCAGATGATCTCACTTCCTTTTTGACATACTTAATTTTGTTCAAGAGCTGTCTAGTGCAGGAGGACCCTCCTGAATACAAGGTAGAAGGTGTCTCTACCACCCAGAAACAGGTAGGAGGCTCACCAGAGAGGCCCCCTGGAAGAACCCTGAGCTAAAGAGGCATCTGGAGAGACACCACCATCACCCAGTTGCTCTCCAAATATCCAAAGATCTCCACCTGCAGCCCATCAGCATGTTCTTTCTCTATTCAACACAAATTGACTCACATTCTACCTCCACCGGCATACACCCCAAAAATTGTCCACCTCATCTCCACCACCGCCCAGTTCAACTTGTCCTTTTCAGAAACATCAATTATACATCATTTCAGATCTAAACCCTCTAATGAGTTCCCATCACACTTTAGTTCCATCCCACTCCTCTTACTGTGACCTGCACGGTCCTGCCTGACCTGATTCCCTCCTGCCATTCCAGCCTCAGCGCACCTTGCTCCGTACACTCCCACCTCCCATGGCTTCCTCCTGTCTTACAGCCTTTGCACTAGTCATTCTCTCAGTCTAGAAAGCTCTTCCTCCAGGTCTCTGCGTGAATGGTTCCTTCTCATCACTGAGGCCTCATCTTAAATGTCACCTCCTGAAAGACCACCTGTCTAATCCTACCCACTGGCTCTTAGCCCAGAAATGAGTCTCGATTACATCCCCCTGTGTGTGAGGGTGTCACTTATCACTATCTGAAATAACTGTATTTGTGCATTTGTTTCTTTATTTATTGTCTGTCTTCCCTGACTAAAATGGAATTTCTTTGAGAACAGAGGCCATGGCTAAATGGCTCTTGGAGCCGAGAACCAGGGCTGGCAATTGTAGAAGCTCAGTAGATATATAGAGAGTAAGAAAACGATGAAGGGCTGAGTTAAATCTCAAACTCAGTGCTGAGGAAACCCAACATGGAACGACTTGTATTAGGTTGGTGCAAACATAATTGCGGTTTTTGCCATTACTTTTAATTACTTTTAATGGCAAAAAGCGCAATTATGTTTGCACCAACCTAACACATTCTATTAATGCATTTCTTGAAACAGCACCAAAACATTTCCAGACTTAATTCCATTATTAAACACTGATGTGACATCTGAGGTCAAACTGGTGGAGTAAAGGAGGAGGTTGTGATAATTATTTCATGCCTGTAAAGTGTGCCCTGAGAATTTGAGGATAAATGGTCAAAGTATTCTTTAAAGTTATTAAGAAAGAATAAAAAGGAAAGTGCAAACTCTGGTTGGCACATTTCCATATTTTTTCTTGTAAGGAAAGCTTTTGGCTTAGTTGTCTTGAGATCTGGCTGTCATCATTAGGAAACTACAAATTAGGATAGAAATAGCTTCATAAATGTGACACCATGACTCCATCGCCTTTGAAACTACTACCCTACTCTAACCCCCAGGGAGATGTACTCACATTAGAGCTGGAATACAAAAAGAAAAAAAAAAAAGTTTGTCACGTGTGATCCCTCTTAATGTATCAAATAATAGGAGGAAAGAATTAAGAAGGGAAAGAGCAGATGCATAGTGAAGAATTAGGGAAAAAAAGTAGCTATACAAATTGGAATTTGTTCAGGATAGTAGCATGTCTGTAAAATTACCTATTCTATTTGATATAGCATTTATTATATCTACTATGTGCAAGTAATTATGCCAAGTCAGAAAAAAAGCATTGAGAGAAGGGAGCCAAGGCTTAAAATGAGCAAAGGCACTTAAAATATGGTAGGAGAAACAACCCAAAGACAGGAAAGGGTAGTTGAAGGATACAAGTAAGGTGGAGACAGTCAGGCATTGGAGAAAGTGTATGAGCTGAGCTAGCCAGTGGAGGGCTTGAAGCAAGCAATGTAAAGAACCATTGGGAGCTCAGGTTCGTGGGATGCTTGTGTGAGTATTGATGCCACGATGACAATGAGGAGTAAGAGAATGGAGGGGCCGTCCTCATTTGTTGCATTGACGCTTTACATCAATTCGGGCACTGGAAAGAGCATGGCAAGAGAAAAAAAAAAAAAGCAAAATAGACCAGTTTTAAATTCTTGACAATTAGACTTCATCCAAAGTTTCAGCTTTTTTAGAACAAAATATTACCGTTGATAACCTCAGCAAATGTTAAAATTGGAATGTAAAGCAATTTTGTTTTGTTTTGGTTTTTCTCAGTCAACAAAGTAAACCAATAATATGTGGTAGGAAAGGTTTATTTAAGAAATAAAATGACTCAGAATTAACAGACGTAAGTAAGTGAGTGTCCCATAATAAAGGCAACAGAAAGAGCTAAAGAAAGGAGGAAAAAAGTGTTAAAACCATTTTATCTGCTATTGGAAGGCTACACCAGCTTGAGGCCGAATGAACTATCCCAGAGTTGAGGCCGTTTTCTGAAGAAGGACTTAGCTTTCTATGTAGTCCATTCATTTGGAGTTTCTACCAGATATCATTCCATACTCCCTTCTCCGTCCCTTAGTCCATTTTCTCTAAAACATGTTATGATTGCTAACAAGCACGGAGCCATTCAGTGGGGAATGGACCACAGCTGGGATTAATAACATGATCACAGCTTCCAGGTGGCAGCAGCAAGAAACCTGGGTTTTTGTTTTCAGAGGTTAGAGCGAGAATAAGAACCTCAAAATATATTTGAAGTACACGTTTTCAAATATAGTTTCATCATCAGAACAACTATTTAAGGTAGGCAGGGTGACTGTTATCATCCCCATTCTACAGATGAAAATTTAAAAGTGAGGTGTTATTTCTACTCTTTTTCCCCAACGTGACCCACTTCACCATCACTGTGGTCTAGGTTGAGTAGGGAAACTTCACAAAGAAAGTGAGATTATTTTGTCGTTTTTTGTTTTTGTTTGTGAGACAGAGTCTCACTCTGTCACCCAGGCTCCAGTGCAGTGGCAAAATCTCAGCTTATTGCAACCTCCACCCCCGACAGTTCAAGCTATTGTCCTGCCTCAGCCTCCTTAGTAGCTGGGATTACAGGCATGCACCACCATGCCCAGCTAATTTTTGTATTTTTAGTAGAGATGGGGTTTCATCATCTTGGCCAGACTGGTCTTGAACTCCTAACCTTGTGATCCACCTGCCTTGGCCTCCCAAAGTGCTGGGATTACAGGCGTGAGCCACCACATCTGGAAAGGTGAAATTTTAGGACATTTCAGGACAGTGAAATTTTGCAGTGAAAGTTGGGAGATAGAATTACAGGTAAAAATACATATAGACTTTGAGAAAAGCAACAAGACACTTACCAGGCTAACACTGAAGGATCAAAATGAAGAATAAAATGAAAACATCAGTATATGAGACTTGTATGCCAGACCAAATAATTTTAATTCTGTCCTGTCATGATGGACAGCAGTGGTCAGGCAAGTGACAGAATGTCCACGCTTGTGGCAAAATAGCTTACTAAATATGCAGGTTGCATTTACAAGGGATTGATTAGAAGCTGGTGGGAAGTAATGAGGAACTATGTTAGATAGATGGTTCCAGAAATAAAAATAAAGGAACCCAAAAAGGAGGTGATTAGACAAAGGTAAAATAGTGTTGAAATGTTAATTTACAAGATTCTGTTACTCATTTCTAAAGTTTCCTTTACGGATTCTAGACTTTCCAACGACAACCTTCACACAACTCAGATTTTACTAGCAGTCCTCTTTTCTTTCATTCTCTTGTTCTTTCCTTCCTCCTATCCATCTGTCCTAACACAAAGAGAAAAGCCACAGGTTGGGGGTTGGGAATAAGGGATAAAACATCAAGGTCAAAAGGGGCTTTGTGGACTATCAAAAGTAAGTCAACCCTGACCAGAGTTTGCACAAGCTCCAGCATCACGCCTACATCCCTTCTTAGAAAGAAAAGACTAACATAGAAATTCACAAGCCCACGAATATCTTATCTCAGTTGCTGTGTTGATTAACCAACTCTTCCACTTCTTCAGAGCACTTTGTTTTCCCTTCCAATACTCTGCTTCCACTCGGGGAAAGCAAGACTTCTTTTGAGGAAATGCCGCAGGAATATCTGCCTCCATGTGGGTCTATTTCTGATTCCAGAATCAGCAGGAAGCACCATGAAGGTCCCAACAACCCTGACCATGCCTTAATATCACTCCTGTTGCTTGTTTCCTGGACATTTTTGGATCACACTCTGTAAATGCATGTCTTTAAGGACTACAGAGAGAAGAAATAAGAGTGAGAAAGATAGCAGAGAGATTCATTCTGTCCCTGAGTTATTTTGTGGATTCTAGAGCTCCCCAACCCATCTCTGATGAGCAGCAAGTCCATCCTGAGCTCCTCTCTCTGAGCCAGCAGACTGGTGCTCTCTAGACATCCCAGGGTCAAATGCTCCTTCAGGTAATACTACTACACCATGAAAACCCACCCAGGGAACGCATGTCTCTAAGATGACAACCCAGTAATCAGATCTGTGAGCTTAAGAGTCAAATAGAGTTCCTCACTTCATTTAACGACTCTGTTTACCCTAGGTAATCCACGGACATTTCAGCAATGATCTTTAGAAGATAATGGTTCATCATAGCACCTTCGGTGAAGCCAGTCAGTGTTAGTATTAGGAATACCAGGAATCTTCAAATTATATTGTATAAGTCACAGCCTATCTTGGCTATACCTGTCAAAGCAAGAACCAGAAGACTGAGGCAGGCTGATATATGTGGGCTTTGGGGCTAGCAAGCCTGGATTCACATCACCTCTACCACCTACCTGTCATTGAACTTAGGGAAATCTTTTAACTGGTCTGTGCCTGGATTCTCTCATTCATTAAACAGAGATAATAATGATACCTATATATAATAGAACTGTTATAGAATGAAATAAAATAATATTAAAGAAGACAGCAGAGTTACCAGGTACAGACTAACTACTCAATGCATGTTACATCTCTTCTTTATTTTTTCATACCAGAGCTGCTGCTCTCTTTTCCTTCCTTGGACTAAATAGCTCTGTTGTATTTCTGTTTTTAGAATCAAGAAAAATAGCAGGAATCATAGAATATTAGAGTGTTAGCCCTAGAGGAAATCTTGGAAATCCCACTGCACTGATTTTCAGGCTGAGCTCTGTGGTATCCTGAGGGCTCTTCAGGGGTACCTGGGAGGGGAGAGAAGGGCCAGCAACATAGGGACTTGTCCTCATTTTTTTAACCCCAGCAGCCCCCTCTTAAACTGTCTGACATATTGGGTGTCCATGGTATATTTCTTTTAAAGAAAGGATTCTCCCATGAAATCCCAAGGAGGAAGGAAAAAAAAAGATTGAAAAACCACTGAATTACAGTTCCATCTTCTTACCACACCCATGAAAGGTATAAGGATTCACTAGTCATTAGCCTCCTGATTCTGGGGGTTTTGTGAAGGAGACAATTTTAAATTAGCCTTCCAAAATGGAAAGCCACTCTTTTGTGCACCAAGTTCACCTTCCATTCGCAGTGCTTTGCTCTGTCTTACTGGCTCCAGTGCATTTTGTTGAGTAGGAAACCGACACCCCCAGCTCCCAAGAATACGTGACTTATAACCCTGCTTAATGGCTTCTGACTCACTTACGGGTCATATGCTTTGCCAGGTCATATACCCTTTATGGTTAGCCTAATGCTTACTCAAATGTAGGGAAGCCCAGGCTCTGACATCAGTAGTTAACTGACACATCTCACCCCCGACAGAGGTCACACCAATAGCACTCTATGTCACAGACTCAATTACAATGAATCTTTTTAAGAGCACTTTCCTTTAAGGTGGCCTTTCCTGCGCTCTATTAAGGCTGAGAGATTTAAGAAAAAAAAGAGAAAGAAATTTGTCCAACTGGGAGTTTCTGAGATTAATTCAATGAGAAGTCCCCTCTTGGTGAGAGAATAAGGTTATTTAGTTTCGTGAAATGAGCCCCATTTATCCTTATTTTCCCTCCAGGCTCCTTTTACTTGGTAGCTGCTGGTACTTTATGGTGTCAGAGTATGATCACAAATAACAGGAAGATGTATTTTTGTCTCTTAAGCAGCACACTTTTCAAAGTTGGACACATTACCCCTGCATTACATTACTTGCTAGAGAAATGACTGAGTCCTGGTGATTTAACTCAACCACATGCTGCAGAAGCTTCAAGGTTTGGATGTACTGGAGATGAAGTCAATCTTCCCCTCACCCACAACACCCACCTAGCTATAGTCAAAGCCTCTTAAACACCAGGAATCTGTTGGTTAGGGAAGGTCATTTCTGCTCCTAAACATAGTATGATTCCTTCTTTCTTTGCTCTGGTGGTCTCGATCAGCTCTGATGTTAGTGTCCTGCAAGTTAACTAACCTTGGTTTCTCACCTTCCTCCTCTCTCCCAAGAGAAATCTTACAGGAGATCCAGAGACTTCGCCTAGAGCATGAACAAGCTTCTCAGCCCACGCCAGAGAAGGCACAGCAAAACCCCACCCTGCTGGCAGAACTCCGGCTCCTCAGGTAAGAGAGGGCTCCCATGTCATCTCAGGGGATATATATGCTTGAGATCTTTGAGAAAGTCTAGCAGTGTCTAGCCAGAAAACAGACCTCAGCTACCTTAGCTGCTGGGTTGGTTTGTTTCTTTCGTAGCACACACCTAATTGCTGATTTTGGGGGGATTTAAAGAGAAGCTGTTTAAATTTTGTTCTTTCATTTGACACAGGGAAGAGCAATGGTGTTTGTTTGTGACAGAATTTCGCTCTTGTTGCCCAGGCTGCAATGGTGCAATCTAGGCTCAAGGTAACTCCGTCTCCCAGGTAGAAGCGATTCTCCTGTCTCAGCCTCCCAAGTAGCTTGGATTGCAGACATGTGCCACCACGCCCAGCTAATTTTTTTGTATTCAGTAGAGACGGGTTTCACCATGTTAGTCATGCTGGTCACGAACTCCTGACCTCAGGTGATCCACCTGCCTCAGCCTCCCAAAGTGCTGGATTACAGGTGTGTGCCACCACGCCCAGCCAGCAGTGTTCTTTATATCAAAAACAACATCTCAGCTCTTTTTAGAAATAATCGGTTAAATAAACATTACATGTTTTTAAATTTTAAAATGTACCCCTAACACATAAAATGAGTCTGATTTTCTCTAAGTCTTGGTCTCTAATATCTTTGTATTCAGAGCTTTAAAAATAGACATCATACCTTCTTGTACTGTAAAGGAACATAAAAGCCTAGTCTTGTTTAGTCTGCCATCATAAAATACTTGAGTTAGAAGGAACTGTAGAAGTCATCTTGTCACCAGTGAAGGGTCTTGATTATGAAGTTGTCCAAGATCTTGGCGTTTTGAACAAAGAATTGGGCAAAACACATAAACAACACACAAAAGAATGAAGCAAGAAAACACATATTTATTGAAACGAAGGTACACCCCACAGAGTAGGAGCCAGCTCCCTTAAGTGGCTCAAAAAAAACCCTGGTTACAGCCTTTTCTGGACTTAAATACCCTTTAGTGGTTTCCCATTGGTTACTTGGGTACACCGAGGGCCTGTGTAAACGAGGACTTGGCCCAGGACCAGTTTGATTGGTTGCAGGAGGCGACCAATCAGAGTCTGAAGTGAAGTTACTAAGTTGCATCCTGTGCAAACATTTGATTGCTTGCAGGAGGGGACCAATCAGAGGTACTTTCCATTTTTCATCTGCCTCACAGTACGAAGGGAGTAGCCTCTCATCCTTTTGTGACTTCGGTGTGAAAAGGCGAGATTTTCCTTTTGATTCAGTTCTACAAAGTCCGTTCAAATCAGCCTTAGGTTCGCTGCCTCTGGATCCTGTTCTCCTGCCTCAATCAGATCCTACCACTGTATTTCAGTGCACTTCTCAGAGTCAGAAGCTAGGGAGTAGCAGGCCTTGGAAAAGAATTGTGGTTTCTCATACTAATCCCACACTGCAAAATGAAAATCTTGCTGTGGGCTCCCTTTCAGATTAGCTTCGTAGCATACCTTGAATAAGGCTGGTACTCAAGTGTATTTATGTGGCAGACAACACAAAAATAAATTCAAAGGCATTCCCTCATATAAAGATACTGCTCTTTCACAAGACACCTTTAGTTGGAAAGTATTACATTCTTTTCATCTTTCAGTTTGGGTGCCAAGTATGTTCCAGGTATATCTATAACTTTGAGTCATACTTTTTATAGTAAGTACAGATGCCGCTTCACAGCAGCCCTTGTCAGAATTAGTCCCGTTTTCTTCCTCCATACAGAAAGATGAAATGAAGCAGGTTCTTTATGACTATGTTTGGATTTTACCAAGTTCCTGTTGATTGCATGGGTGTTTCTGGGGGTTCTATCTTAGTTCTACTCTTCAGACAGTTTAACACCTGAGCACAGCAGTGCTTTGTTTTTCATTAATGCATACTTTCATTTTTGTCTTAAAACCACAATGAACTTTCTAAACGATCATGTTTCCCTTTCCCTTTTTACTTTTGCCACAGGAAAACTGAAAGCTGAGTCATAGCCCAGAATTGACCATGCATAGGAATGATAGGCATTTCTGTGCGCTAATCTGACACTTTGCTGCATACTAACTCTACATACACTGTCCCATGTAATGCTATAACTAGGAGATGGACACTGTTATTGTACTCCTTTAATAGATAAGGAAACTGAGATTCACAGAAGTTAAATAGAAGTTGCAGATATCATACCTCTCACTTAGTGCATATATTTATATATGATTTATAACAAGAGAATTTTTTCTTAGAAAAAATTTGTATAATTATGTGCAATTTATGTATATATTTCCCAAGGAAAAAAATTATCTTGTATAACCATGATACCATCTTCAATTCAGGAAAGTTAATATCGATAAATGTTATTGAATATAAACCCATATTAAAATTTTGACAATTGTTCTAATGCTGTTCTACAAGAAAGTAGGTTTTAACACACATACAAATTAGAAACAATCTGACAGAATTTCATAATAAAGGCACTTTTTTAGAGATGAATACATGTATGCTAGGAGAGAAGAATCACTATCTACTCTTATTTTCTCATTCTCCTTGGAATGGTGGTTACACCACAGATTTGTTATTATACCTACCTTTGGGAAACACTGGTAGAAACACTTATAGAGAAGATTGAATGAAGACATTGTTGAATGAATTTTAATTGAATTCAGTGTCATATTTTTAAGAGATTACTACCATAAGATAAATGTTCAATTAGTTTTTTTAGTGTTGACTAATTCTAAATTAATTTGCCATTACTTTCAATGGCAAAAGACCACAATTACTTTTGCACCAACCTAATAATACCAGTTAATGTTCTCACATTCTCAGATAGTTTTTAAATGCTCCTGTTAGTATTTCTCACCTGCAGTTTTAGAAGATTGCTTTAACCCTCTTCCCAAAGTGCTTCTGTGGCCAAAGGGCCAAAAATTACAGAACAGTATCAAGAAGAGAACTGGAAAAACATCAGAAACATTATCTACTCTTATACCAAGGACTACTGTGAATGTACTTGGAACACCATACATAGACAAGGTCAAAAAAAAAAAAAAAAAAAAAAAAAAAAAAAAAGAACACCTCATAGATTTGTCACTGAGAAATATTCTTGAATGAGGCAAGACTTTTGTTATTAGAATGCTTCAGCCCAAGAAGACAAAGACTAAAATAAGATACCATTAAAACATATAAAACTATAATGCTTCTCGCTTTCTGGATTCAGAAAAGAAGCAGTTTTAAAGGAAATTGAAAAAAAAAGATTGCTTCAAGAGTAAGCTATAAGTGGCAATAATAGTTAAAAATATAAATTTATTCAAAAATAATTGAGAAATGTTTATAAATTTCAAATTCATAATTCATTATAGAAGAAACATATAAGAATAAGTTAGAAATGTCTCCCAGTGCTTTGGGAGGCTGAGGCAGGAGGATTTCTTGAGGCCAGGAGTTCAAGACCTGCCTGGGCAACATAGTGAGAACCCATCTCTACAGAAAAAAAAAAAAAATTAGTCAGGCATGGTGGCACATGCCTGTAGTATCAACTACTCATGAGGCCGATGGCAAAAGATTGCTTGAACCCAGGAGATTGAGGTTTCAATCAGCTATGATTATGCTACTGTACTCCAGCATAGGTAACAGAGTGAGACCTTTTCTCTAAAAAAAAAAAAGAAAAGAAAAAAATAGAAATATGTCATTTATATCTCTAACCTATCCTCCCACAAAATGTCTTTCAGTTGGATGAGTCATTGACCTAGCTCACTGTGACATTTTTATATCATCAGTTTTTCACTGCAGATTTCTTTTCATACTTTCATTTAATATGGTATCTATCATTGAGACTAGCCATATCCATTTAGACATTAATACATACATGTTTAAAGTTTCCATGCAGTTTTAGTATATAAGTATGAATATTTCAAACTCAAACTGAAATCTTTTGGGCAAGGGGAAAATTATTTGTATTACTTATTAAGTAATGATATTCATTAATGGATCTGAAATTTATTTGAAAAGTATACATATACTTCAGAAGTGTGAACCATTAACATTCCTCATCATACTGTTTCATTTCTTTCCCCCTTAAAAGATGTCAACATAAATGATAGAGTATAGAATGTCCTTAGTTGTTTTCATTCTTGCTGACAGTTTAATAAAAGGTCTGTAAAACAAAACAAAATTAAACATGAACCTTATATATCATCTTCACTTGTAGAACAAGTATGTAGAAATGCCTTTATTCTGACTTCACTTTATGAAACCAAACTCAAACCAAAAAATTTAGACAGACTGTGTCTATGTGCTATTAATATGTTACCTCTGAGAGACACCTCATTGGGTGCTGAGGATTTCAAATGTAATTTTCTAAGTCATATTTCCAAGTACTAAGGGAATTAATGTTTCCTGTGAATTTGCAAAAGGGTTCTTAGATTTGGAGACTCTAGAGGATTTGCCTTTTTCAGTAACAATTTGATTTTTATTTGTCTCAAGGGACCTCATAGCACATGAGAGGGCCCACTACATAGTAAGCATTCAGAAAATATTTCATTCTCAATGGTTGATTAATTCAGGCTAGAAAGGTCTAAAGGAAATGAAATGTCTAAAAGGACTTTAATTCTGTTTAATTGCAGTGTGACTGCTGACAAATAAAAGAAACGCCTCCAGCTGTAATTGTTCATTCATTTGACAACAGTTCCCTGCTGGGTAAACGTGTCAGAGATCCAGAGATGCCCTTTTTCTAATAGTCCACAAGTCCCACAAAAATGGGAATGTGATTAGCTCAGAGAGTTGCTTGCCATTTCTGATATCAGCTGCTTCTTTCTTAGACAGCGCAAAGATGAGCTGGAACAGAGAATGTCTGCTCTCCAGGAGAGCCGGAGAGAGCTAATGGTCCAGTTGGAGGGTCTCATGAAGCTACTAAAGGTAAGACCTGCAAAATGAATTTTTCCTAAGCTTATTTTCCATGTCACTTGTGAAAATTTTTGCACATAATGTGTAATGGTTTTTCCAATCACTGTATGTAATTTCCCTCAACATGTTGTTTCAAACTCAAATGTAGAACAGTTTCTTAGACTAGTGTAGTAGTAGCTATCAGTAATAGAAAACATTCTTACCCATTTCCTGAAACCAGACTGCTGAGGGCCTTCATGGGACTTCTTCTTGGCTTATTTCCAGTTTCTTTATGCCTGCAAGTAATAAAACTGAATTTATTTAGAAATATTTTATATTTAGTAGCCTTCAGCAATTCTGATTACATTAAGAGAAGTGAACGTTAATATCAGTACAATATTTTATTCTATTAGTGTACTTTATCAGTAAGTCACATGATTTTTAGTGATTTCAAATATAAACTCTAAATGAGAACATCGCCTTACTCTTCTGTAGGTAAAGTGTTTAGTAAGATGATTTATAGTTTTCTAAGTTTTCTGTAGAGTGCTGTAATCTATTTCTCTCATTGGGAAGTGGCATTCTTCTTTTAGTAAAGCCTTCTTCCCTTCTTCAATATACATTAAATTGCAGTTCAGGTCAAAAGCAGGCAAACTATGGCCACAGGTCTACAGTCAGCCTATGTGATGAGTGCCATGTGATCATCCTGCCTGATATAAACAAGCAAGAACCAGTATGGATTGGAACTGTGACCTGCCACAGGCAGGAAATGAAACTTCTGACAGGAGAATGATGCAGGGAAGACCCAGGGTCAGCTCACTGGCGAGACACGATCTCCCAACTTTCAGTCCATTGATCTCTCACAGCCCCAACACACCAACATTTGTCATTTTTATTTTGTCTGTCCTTTCTTTCTCTTTTTTGTCTATCTTTGCCTCTTTTTTCTTTACTTTTTCTTCATTTTTTTGCTTTCTTGATTTCACCTTCTTTCCCTCTTTTCTTCATTTTTTTTTTTTTTACAAATTTTTTTGAAAGCTACCGTGTCCCAGCCACTGTTCTTGTGACCTTTCTTTTTTTTTCCTTACTTTGTTTTATTCCTTAGTCAGCTTTTCCCTCCATCAGTGTCCTCTTTAACAACTGGTATTGAGAATATTTTATCTTTACTCAACAAAATTGACATTTCAGTAAATTAGACATGTAAAGTGTAGAATTCAATTTTTGTTGACCTATCTTGGACAAGACAGGACTAGATAATTCATAACCTGCTGCTGTTTCTGGGCTGTTATTTAATAACCCCAAAAAAGCTCTTCCTGCTCCCCTTTCCACATATACCAAATGAAAATGACTGAGCCCATCTTTCCCCTCAGTGAATGACAGGAAGCTCTGAAAACTGCCCCCTATGTTCCTATTGCTTCTGTCACCATAGCTATGACTCTTTCTCTATGGGATAGAAGTCTATTCATCACCAGCCATGTCGGTATTAACTTAGCCTAACTGCCTTTGTATCGAGATATACACATATCAGGATAGAGAGATGGACTGTGTGGAAAAATGGTTGTACCTGCAGAGAAAAGAGATGGGCCTTTAGTCTCGAATAACCAAGCAGACTTGGAGTGATAGCCACTGAGGTGGCAGAGGCCTGGACCTGCCATCAAAGCTCTGTTGATGTTTCCCCATCTTGCGTTCCTTCACACTGTGTACCTGCTCTTATTGGAACCCTGGGTAATCTAACTGTTATTGATTCAATCTTTCTGTAGGAAGAAGAACTGAAGCAGGGAGTAAGTTATGTCCCCTACTGCAGGTCTTAACTAACAGTGGAGGGGCCTGCCGACCTGCGGTTTTCTCATTGCTTTTGCTCTAATGTATGTTCATGCTTCAGTTTGGAAAGAGAAAAAAATCATACTAATTTGCTTCTTTTTCAATGTAGTGCTTGAATTGAGATATATAAAATTAGCATTTTTTATAACTATCACTACTCTCAGCATCAAAAGAACTATGACATCTTTTAGAAAAGGGAACAAATTGTCATTTTTCGGAAACCTTTTAGAACACCAAGGGTATACATTTCAAACGAGTCTAATGCTTTTGAAGTTGTTGATCAGACCATTCTCTTAATAGAGAGACACTCACCACAGTCACTAGAGATACACTGAGGTTCATGTCATCCCAAAACCTACAGCACTCAGAAGCTGCCCTCTACACCCTCTCACTCTGTGAGTATTCAGTTCAGGTTTCCTTTTACTGAAAACGGGCAATTATAAAAATCGGGCAATTAAATCCCTTTTAATCACACAATTATTGAGGCTTGTTCCCGATGGCTAACAAAATGTGCTTAATCTTGTGGGAGAAAGACTGTGCTCTGTAACTGACTGTTTGCTTCCCATTTTTTTGGCTTTTCCCCAAAACAGAATCCTTACTATTGGTTGACAATAATCTTTTTTTAAAAAGTAATTATCAACTTTTATCTTAGCACCAAGAACCTTTCTGCTCAGAGAGATGAGAGAGTCATTACAGACATTTTTTTTTTCTTCTTTTTTTTCCTGGAAATAGGGGCATTGTGACTTTTTAGCCTAAACTGGAGCTGTGTCTAAGCCTGTAGTCAGGCTTAAGAGCCAGCAGGGGGAGCAGCATACTCAAGGAAAAAAAAAAAGCAAATCAAATTAATAGAAGCAAAATAAAAGCAACTTTAATTTCAAGTGCATGTACCATGCTGTGTATGACAATATATCCCACTCTCTAGCATTATTGAAAAGTTTCACATTATTTCCTTGGATCAATTAGAACCGCAGCCTGTCCAATTTCAACGTATCTTTCATTTCTTCTGTATGCTCTTTTCTATTATTCATTATGTGTGTTTGTGTGTAACAAAGAATGTTTGGAAAATGCTGGACACATTTTTACCCTTCATCCCCATGGTCTGTAAAAAAAGGAAAGTGTAAAATCAATCTGTAATGTCAGACAATAAAGATGCTGTATTACATTATTTTGTATTTTGTGAAAAAAATTACTTTATTAAATTAAAATCAAATTTTAACAGGAGACAGTCTCCCTGGGTAAAGGACATATAACATTTACAGCCTGTATAATTGCCCATGAATGCATACATGGGGTATTGCTATTGTATTTCCAATACACTTAGATCATGGTAAAGAAAAATGCCTTCCTTATGATACTTCTCTTTGCAAATGGCTTCTTTCCTTTCCTGTCTCTTACTTAGCATGTGCATAGAAAAAGGGAACAAGGTTCCATTATAACCTCCCTCCTCCTAGCAGAGAGAGAGGCAATCATCCTGTAGTCATCAGCCTTGCTTTAGCCATTTCCCTTGCGGATACCTTCCCAGCCATTTCCTAGGCAGCACAATCTTGAAAGGCTCCTGTGGACCAGGAATTTTGTGAACAGATGGATGCACAGAGCCAAACTGTGGCAATGACCTGAAGGTGGCACCACTGCCCCCTCACCTTCCAGCTCCTCTCCACTGAGCCCCTCAGCAGCTTCTGCATCTCAAAGGGCCAACAGTGGGTACTGCGGTGTAGGTACCTAAGAACAGTGGGCCCACATCACCCAGCTGTCAACAGTGCATCATCTGGGTGGTGGCACAATTTGCCTATTTTGCTCATTCATCTTTTTGCTTTTATACACAAGCCTCTTTTCAAAAAGGACCTGAGGCAGCTTACAACAAAAGATATAAAGAGTGACTCCATAAAATTGAAATAGAAAAATCAAAAACTAAAGAAAAGAAAATGTGAATATGCTAATTTTAAGGGACAAGGATGTTACTTTGCACATTCTGGCAATGAAGCAAAAAAAAAAAAATACAATCGGTGGTTTTTTCAGTACAGAAATACCACTTCTCAGGGGAACAAAACTTCTGTTGGCATCAAATATGAAAGAAAGTCTTCACTGGGAGCTTTATAGGAGTTGTGAATAATAAAAAAGGAAAAAAAGCAGTCATAGATTTCATGTGGCTGTTTCTTATACTGAACTCAGTCAAAATTAAAAGCAGAACCTTATAATCCCAGCCCTATAGAGGTGGTTCTGCAAGGAAATAAACAAATGCTGTCCAAATATAGACTCCTCATGGTAAAACATGATCTAAGGAGAGAATTTAGAGGTTTTAGACTGGCATCTGCTTCTAAATTCTGTTTTTATTTATGAGTGTTTCCCCTTTGGGGACATTATCTTTGTAAAACCAAACTTAGAACACCCCCACACAACAAATTGTGCTTGATTTAATAACCTCTACTTGCTTTATCATAAGTCTGTGTGGTTCAATGTAGTGTTTTATTATACTGGCATATATAATTTCTACTTACATTGTTTCTTGTTAGAGGTAATGCATGAATTTATCCCTCTCGAGGAGAGAACATGAATTTTAAAAACTAGTGCCTGTAATATAATGTGATGATTATGATATCACAAGCAATAAATTTTTTTTACAAAACTTGAATGAAGTTATCCTACCCTCTTTTTTCTCTGTGTATCTTTAAGATTTATTGAAAGAACCATAAAAAGAACACTCATAAAACGTTTAATAATGAAGGCAGCTGGGGTATAATTGCAGTACCAATAGGTTCCAGAGTTACTGGTACACTTCCAGTTCCATATATTATGTACCAGTCTAAAAATGAGTAACCTGGCTTTGACTCCAGAAAGTAGTCTCAGTACTAGTTTTCTTAGCAAAGTTACTGGAATTAGACCTGAATTACAGTGGTCTCAGATCTTTGCTCACAGCTGCTTAACTTTCATGGTAATTAATTTCAAATTATTGATTATCCATGGCTAATAGGATTATTGTATAGATTTCGAAAGATACTGGATATGAAAGCACTTTGTAAAATATTATATGTCAGCTATAATTATGAATGTATGTATATAGGTATACATACACGGGGTATATATAAACTTTTCAAATTTGATCCATATTTTACAGACACACAAGCAACATAACATACACACACACACACACACATACACACACACACTCACTTCTTTTCCTTACAGTTAATTAATAATGTCTTCATCAGGGAAAGAAATTT